GGTGAGTACTACGGGTACTGCTGTGAGAGGGGAGTCTTCCAGCAGGCAAAGTGTCTTTTCCGTTTCCTCAAGATCGGTTGCTTCGACTGTATGCAAATCGGCCTCTAGCACTGCTGTCGAAGAGTCAGTGATGAGACAGGGCTTTCTGTTGTGCTCTCTCAGGGCAGAGAAGAGTTTGACCAGTGTGCTTTTCAGACCGTTCTTCGTAGCAAGATCATACTTGGTGATGACAATCACAAGTGGTAGCTCCAGAGCAAGGCAGAGTTCCAAGTGTGCATGGGAAAGGTCAAGATCTGCCGCAGCTGGCCCAAGTAGTTCCTCTGATGTAGGCGAAGCTCCAAGTTTGCCAGAGGAGTCTTCTGTATTATCCGCAGGGACGCACAGAAGCGTCCAATGTGGTTGCCTATATCATGTCAGCACTACTCAAAATATGAAAACAGCAAACTAACCAGCCAACAATTCCACGAACAGTGGTGCGTCTGAACCGGGGGTGGCCGGCAGAGTCAGAGAGAAAGACAAGCCTGCCGCTTTCTACAGACTCGACTGCGGCATGGATATCTATCCAGGACGAGATATCTCCAGACCCGTAGCTGATGACTTGTGTGTGATCGTCCGCGTCACGATATCCTATCAACTCTTGGGTGACGGAGCTGGTCATACCTGATGCAATCTCATGTCTATGTTTGAGCAAACTAAGACGACTTTTCCCACGGCCATTGTCTAGTGTGGCGGTAGAAAGCGTTCCGAGTAGAGTGGATTTCCCAGACATGGTGGCTCCGGTGACTGATACCCGCATCTGTTCACTAGTAGCCTGTGGCGCCTTGGCTAGAGCTGCGTTACTGTCTGCTGCATTTGACGTATTCTCATAAGCGTCATTACGATCCCTCTTTGTGTGGTCCACCAGATGCTGTTCCGGGCGCACTAGAGCCTCAGCGACCAATAGTTGTGATCTTTGTACTCTTTGCTGTGTAGTGCCTGCATCTTCAACCCATTCACATTCGCCGACCGGGACCCTACGCAAGACTTCTACCCCACAACCCAAACTCGCAGCCATGGCGCGTAGGTTGTTCAGGCTTTCTTCCATTTCATCCTCTGCCAAGCCAACAATGCTTCCGTCATCAGCGACACCAATCTCGTAAAGCGCACCCTTGCTCTCCTCAAGCCCAGGGAGAAGCCGTTGCGGCATTTCAGGGGCTGAGAGGCGCGCATCGTCCGGAAAATGGGGAAATACAGGAGCTGTCGATGAGGATATGTGATAAGGACATGACTGTTGCAACCGCCATAACAGCTGCGTCGTCAGCTGCTCAAGACGATGCTGCTTCGACTGCGTAGAGGCCAACGGTGGGGGAGTAGTTTGATTGAGGCCTGACTCCGATACGCTACGACCCACAGATCCTGGTATAGGAATATCACTTCGACGCGTAGACCCAGACATATGTCGACCAGTGGTGGCTCGAGTAAATGACCGTCGCCGCCTCAGAAGTAGATGCAGCTTATATTCTGTTGGACCATCCTGAGGCTCCGCTTCCAATCTAGTGATATTTGTATAGTCTACCGCATTTGCTAGAAAATCTCCGTGTGGTCCCTGCTGCTCGCCATCGCCGCTGATTCTCGAAAGAGGCGACTTGGTTTTTTGGTAGGTATTCGATGGTTCCGTCAGGTCGCCAACTGAAGTTGCCGCCCATGGCGACGAAACGCGGGGCGGGTCGGGGTCGAAAGTAAATATAGAAGCCATGTTGTTGGGATTGTAGTTGGGTGCAAACTGGGAACGTCCAATTTTCTATGTATTAGTTGGGATGATTTGAAATGTTCCAAACTTGTCAGATGGTGCGTTAAGGTGTCCTTTTAGCAGAGACGGTGTATAAACGTGGTAATGATCGCGAGTTAGTGTGTAAGAAGTGCGTCCGGAATAATTGCGATAAAAGTGGAAGCATTTTGACGGGTGTAGAGCACAACTAATGGGTGAGACTTCGTCAAACGATAGCTAGAAACAGCTCGTTGGGGAGCCGCGTGAAGATGCCAATGAGGCGCTCACAGACTGAAGGAAGACATTTGTATATTCGATTCAGTAAGATGGTGAAGCAGGTGACGGCAAGCGATATGGTGGTATGAGACGGTCATCAAAGGTTACAAGTATCAACTTGTCGTGATGTTAGCCATTGGTCCGAGCTCGGGGCTGCGGGGAGTCACCGTTCAGTGGGGCAAGCCATCATCCATCGTTGCTAGGCTCGCGTGTGAATCGTCGCAAGACGCAACGCCCTTCTATCGCCCTTTGGCTGCGCATCTAAGTGCTCAAACCTATACGAATTTCGTGGTCACTTGTTATGAGCTGGTCCCATGAATATGCCATTGTCATCATCTCCCAAAGTAAGAGGGCTGCTAAAGCATTCACATCACCTGTAATCGTCGGATTGAAGCGCCTTTCTACCTTCTTGTACCCTAAAGTGTCATCTGAAACTATTGTAGGAACATCAGGTCTGATTGTACAGTACTGTCGAGTCAACTGGTGACTCCTTGCTGGAGTTGCCTAGCATTGCGGCGCAGTAGATGATGTTATGCACTCAAAGGCCCAGATCTTGCCTGACTTGTATACCCGTCACAGTGGGTTCTTGACCGGAAAACCGGCAAGTCAACGATGCTCTAGACCGTCGTCGTTGTGGACACCTCGTAATACCCCAAGGGGGGGACAAAACAGGCCGAAGCAGAAGTATGGGCACGCATTGGCCACTCATGTCTACATTTGAGCTTCGGTGGCACTAATATGCATCAGCATCACTGCAGGAGCCGAAGAAACACCAGTTCTAATATACGATTCCAGGGGCTGGGGGGATACTTGTTTAGTAAACAGAGACCAAACGACTTGGTAGGCAGACGTTGATTGGCTGTGACGTTGTCTCTTTTCTGCATGAAGCAGGTCAAATCAGCGCTGTTTCACTAAGATTTCTCTTCGTACTCATGTGCGCCACTGTTAGTAGTATGTTCTGAAGCTACCAGCGATGAGCACATGACTGAGACATGCCGACTGCATAGCACAGCACATACGGATCGAAGATGCCGATGCCGACGCAACCACATTCAAGTCGCGGCCGGCAACAGTAATGGCCAAAGAGGCAGCGACTAGCATACCGCTTTCGGCCGTATCGTACCCCATTACGTCTCTAATTGCGGGTCTCCTAGGTCGCACTGCAGTAGCAGGCAGTCTTTTGCAACCATCGACTACTTGCTGCCGTTTCGTCTCACAATCAACCATCTCCACGCGAAGGCCACTTCCTTGCAAGCGCCCTGACCGTTTATAGGCAGCGAATGGCAACTGATATTAACCGGCTTTCTCGAAGGTAGCACGGCAGCTTGTCTGAAGCGGCATAGCCAACAACCGAGTAAGTATTTGCGAGCTAAATCCATGGTTCTGGGGTCTGGCGTAACCAGGGAACATGCAGGTAAGCCTCGTGCGGCGCCCACGAGGTCACCACATGGGTTGTATACTCGGGCCATTGCTCCCTCGCGCGATGGGTTACCACGCGAGCGAGTATGCAAGTCAGTTGCTGGCGATTCAATCGCCGTCATGGTCTGGCTGCAGTGACCGTGTCAAGTCTCCGCCAGGGAACGGGTCGCCTATAAGGAGCTTCACAGGCCTTTCTACCCTAGTGTATATCACCTGCGGTGCGGAGTCCCAGAGATGCACATCCAGTTCGGTTCTGGAGAGGTTCCCGGCGCCCTTTGCGCGTCTGGATCACCTTGTCAAGGCGCTTAACACGAGATGAGGCTGGCCCCCACACGTCCCGACTCCCCCCTAGGATATACTTAACGCATGTATGCACATACTTACTTACTGTGATGTCGCTGCTCGGTCGAGATCGTATGATACAGACGTAGCGAATGTCCATCACTTCTTGGCCACACCATGTGCATTTTCTTTCGTATTGGGTCGAACAATCAAGGCCATCGTAATGTGGGGCCTCTTTCAGGCAACCGACCATACTGCTTTAAGTAGACCATACGACTCAGACGTTTTGAGATGGGCCAAGTCGACAAGGGCTGCAACTGTGCCGTCGGCGATTGCACCCTGACATGGTGTATAGTCCGGCAACAAGAAAAAAACATCCCACGGACAATTGTTTTGCGCCATTCGCTGGGTGTGGGCAAGAAAGGAAAAAAGTGGGCAGTCAGATACCTGGGTCGCGGCACTCTCGGTCTCCGCACAACGGCGGAGCTTGGTCGCAATATCACCAGGGCCCCCATCTATCAATCTCGTCAATCACATGCTGTATTTTAACGTCATAGCCGGCTACCGGATAATGTCCGGCGATTTTACCACGCTTGTTCAACCCGCCAGAGGTCTCATATCCGAGTGTGGGAACTCTTTCTTCGCCTGATGATACATGTCGTCTGTCGGGGAACTAACTCTCTTTACGCCACGTCTGTCTCTCTCTCTTTCTCTGTCGTATCCCTGCGAGAATTTGGGTCGAGGGATCAAGTGACTGTCATCCTTCCCGCGCAGCCGCGCCCCCGCCGGCTTGACCCTTGCAACGCTTCTCGCCTTAAAGTCCACACACGTCAGCAGAGGACTCGGGTCAGCATGTCGCGGTGGGGCCAGAGTGGGTGGAAAACAGCCAAGGCCCTTCTCCCTCGGCGCGTCTGTTCAATATCAAGCCCGAACCACCTGGACCGAGATCCCGAGTAGTTAACAATCGGAAGCTACTATTGCGCGCAGCAGTCAAGCGCGCATAACCAAGGGGTGGATTCCGAGGCTCTGGTTCCGATGGAGGCCCTGAGAATCTGCAGGGTAGCTGTCCGGTTTGCTGTGTATGAGAGATGAAGTCTTGCGCCAGTCGAGATAGCTGCCGTCTGCTCCTGGATGTAGTAGTACTGCGGTCCGCCCTCGTAACCTCGCTTGATAGCCAATGAGCGCCGCTACAGCGACCATATCTGTTCGCAGATTCCTATTCGAGTTTCAACCGCGAGGCGCTGTCTTCAGCTGCAGTGACAGTCTTGGCAGCATGCACGCTGAAGCTTCAATCACCTTCTCGACGCAACTGGCGTCGAGCGACGCTGAACTACGTACCACTCAAGCTGTGTGTCAGACCGGAAATGCCCGCGTCACCGGTGCTATCCACCTATGCATGCATCTATGTACGCCATGCTGCGGTAGATTTGGTGTTGCAACTGCCAGCCCGCAACCCCCGATAGCCACCCACCCAACGCGGCTAACGGCTTCCGAGACAAGGACGACGTTCAAGGTAGTTAGTTCCAAGTATTGTCCCGCTGCCCGGTGACGAACAGGGCGACGAACAGGGCGATGACCAGCCCAGGGAATGTTGCATACAGTATGTATGTACAACCAACGGATGGCGGCACTGCAGAGACGCTCATGTCCCAACGGCATGGTTCACTGGCGCACGGTAGTCGCGCATGCCATGGTTGCTGACTCTGGGAGGCTCCGGATACAGTCAGAAGAAAAAACGTGCTGCGTCTGATTGGAACCCTCGCCGTCATCGCTTCACGGCTGGCCGCTCGCCTGGGCGATGGATGCGCTGCTCCTGTACGAGGCCTCTCCCGCCCTCAAGTCGTGGCGACAACGGCCCGCTCGTCTGATCGTTACTCGAATCTGACAGAGGGGCCGTGCAGCCTTTTGGTCGACAGCCTCGCCCGCCTGGCCTTGGCTAATGTAATGCAGTGTGAAAACGAGTCTGAAATTGTTGGTGCGCATGCCCTTGAAATTACGTCCAAGCGATTTCGCGCCTATGGAGTCTATTCGACGGTATTTCAATCGCTGAATAAGTCTCTACCTCGGCATTGCCTAAATCTTTGCTATGTCGGTTTAGCGTCGATGGTGCATTTTTTTTTTGCACAAGCTCCCTTTGCGGACCCTGAGCTGAGATGGTAGACCGTGTCAGCAGCGTAGATGTGTTCTTTTACGAACCAAATAGCCGGGTTGATCCATGGGGGGCAGGGGAAGAATCCCCAAGCAGCAAGTGTTCCGTGTTCCTGCTTTGCTGGTTCCTACAAAAAATCCTCCCGCTGCGATCTTTCAACGGACATGCGGCCACCACTCTGCTTCCCCGAGGGCCGTATTCCCCGCCACGCGATGCCAGAAATTTGACCCAACTTAGTGCTTGTGCGAGCCATTATGCGAGGGAATGTAGACATTCTAGACTCGACATTTCCTTGTCCCCTTGTCCCCAATTGTGTCCCCTCCAAATTCCATGTACATGACATCATAAGAACCAAGAACATGATGATAAACTGTGGGTTACAAGAAACATAAACACCCGTATGCATTGCTGGTCGCTGAACGCTTGATATATAACGCCTGGTGATGCTCCTGTTAGATCAATAAATCCCCCCCACAACCCGAGGATGCACAATGAGAAAAACTGCACGCGCAAGGCTGGAATTGCAGTTTACAAGGCCCAATGCCTTGTCTTCCTGAGTGTCTCTCACTCGGCCAGCTGGCTTATCCACGAAACGTCGGAAGCTTCCCTTGCGCGTTAGCGTACTGACACACATCTCCGCTTCGAGACATTGATAATCCGTGTCCCGGTATCTGATAATGTCGGGCTTGTGCCGACTATGTTTGCGCCTCACGGCCGCTTGCAGCAAGCTGAAAATGCCCAGACAAATCGAACGTCGAAACAAAGATCTCCGTCTATCCGGTTGCTTCTGATGGTCTGCGTGGCTTGCATTTGTCATGCGCCATGTGTCCGTTTCTTGCAGTAGTGCGGGTAAACTCAGCCCCGCATCGGGGGCAGGTGCTCTTGGAGGCAGTTCCGGACTTTTCTCGCTGGTGTCGCAGCAGATTACTGAATGTAGAAAATTGTCGTCCATTGCATCCATGCTCCCAGCATTGAGGTTTCGGTCGTGAGTTGATGACTCGCGGCATTACTGGGTTGCCTTGCGTGCTCGGCGACGAAGAGAGTGCAGGGACTGATGCATTAGAAACTGGAGCGCTCGATGGCGAGTCATAGGTTGAGTATGTAGCAGGCGCTGTGTTGTTTGGTGGATACATAGTTGGTAACGGATGATAGTCACTGACGGCATAGGAGCTGGGAGGGTAAAGCTGTGGTCTATCTCTTATTAGTAGAAAGCATACTCGATGCGCTCGACAAACTTACGGCGGGTAGGCATTACCCCCCAGCGGCTGATTGGGGATGGTACTATGGGAGGTGGAGTAAGCGTAGGTGTGCGTGGTGGTACCCATAGAGGCTGTGTTGGCTCGCATGTGATCCGATGAGTGTTGCTCATATGGGCTTCGCGGAAGTGAAGGGTGCTGAGGTGGATAGGGCGGTTGGACTGCATGCTGTTCGCTTCTTCTTTGTTGACTTTCATTTGGGACTGGACTGGAAGAGTAAGGTGGGCCATATGGGCCTGGCGCCGAAGCCCTTGGTTCTCCATAGGGCTGGGGTGGCGGGTAGCCAGGCGCGTAGGACGTTTGGGAAGAACCGTAATGGCCCATACCATATTGCGAAGAAGGCATCATGAAGCCCAAGGTGCTGTGTACATGAGATGCTGTTCGATCACAACAATCGGCGGGATCTCGTACCTCATATCTTGTGACTCGAGGATTGGCTCGTGCGGCTGCTCAAAGTCTGCTAGTGATTGATGTTGGAGAGAGTGCGCGGTAGATGTAGACAATGTCGGCGACGTGGGGTTTTGTTGACTTTGTGTTGGCAGGGTATGATCAGGGCGGACTATCTGGTTACTAGCAGTAGGCACGACTGTCGAGTCTGAGCCTGGATGAGATTCGTGGAGAGAGAAGTGTGCGATTTGCGTGCTCGTGGAGTCCAAGAATCGATCCTGGGCAGAGGAAGTTGACTGAGAAGAACGATTGTGTGAGGTGTCGTCGAGAATGTGTGAGGTATTCCAGGCTAGCGAAGGTGGGTGCGAACCGGGCGTCTGATAATCAATGGGATTGTGGCGGGGCGTTGGCAAGGTTGCGGCACGGCACGAATAAGGCCCCCTTATTTGTGGAATTTCTGGTGGCTGAACAGACAAATGCTGGTTGGCACGGTCCCTAAGTCTTCGTGAGATGGTCGTCGTCTTGGGTTGATGTGGGTTGGAAGACCAATGGGTCATATTCAACAGCAGACAGGCACCATTGGAGGTGAAGGGGACCAGAAGGGGGTAAGACGTACGGTTGCGTGCGTGGACAGGGCTCGTCGTGTGGGATTATACGAGCCTTATGGGCAATTTACACCAAGGCAGAATTACCATTAAAACCCTGATGTATGTTGGAACATGGGCGACTGGTGTGCTCTGTTGCATGGGGGGATGCCTGGAAATACAGGAACACGGTATCTGAGCTTCATGACCCAACAGAGGCAGAGCGCTTTTCCCGGCTTTGCGGCTGGGGGGACTGATTGGTGCCTCGAAGGATGCGCAACCCGGTCTTTGACAGTGCTAGCCCTCCGGCCGTTGACTAGCCACAGAACATGCACCCGCAATACCTGGTGTAGGCCGGGGGTATCCACACATCAGTAAGTATTGCGCGATTGTCTCAAGTGGGGTGATGGCAGGCATGCTTGCCCTGCTCAGTGAGGACTAGATTGTGGTCATGATCCAGAGCGTCAACCTGTTTTCGACAGCCATTCGCTGAGAGGAGTCGGAGGCCACCCCCCACCGGGGACGACTGGCATGTCTGTATACGGCACTGGGAGGGGAAGTTATGCGAGCACTGACGAACGCCCTGAGGTGCCATGTCGAGGGTTGGTGGCGTTTGCGGTTTCCCGCTCGAGACGAAGAGCCATACCGTGTCGAGTCTGGCCCTTCTGGACAGCGTGGGCTATCCAATCTCTCTGCGTCAGGCCCGGGTGGGCCGGAGGTGTACAAGACGGAAAGTAGCTGTGGACGAGTGATCTCGGCATAGACGGCCTGGACAGGATGGCATGTGAGAACAGAGCTGGTGCCATCGAGGCCTTGGAATACGGGGGTCTGGCACCGCCACAAAGGGCGCCTGTTGCCTATCCTCAGCGTGGCCCCCCAGGCGGCAGGTGTTTGTGCGCAGAGGGTTTCTATGTTTGGCTCGCTACTACAACTATGGCCCGAGAGCGTGCGTCGCCCAAGCGGCCCGTTGTCATTCGGAAGCGGTGCCGTTGCTAGCACCGGCAGGCGGTCGGCACGCCTTCGGGCATAGGACTTGCCCCAGTACATGGGAACTTATGTATCCAGGGCAGCAGCCCGCGGTCCTTTGCACGCACCATGGCCGGGTGCGTGGATGTTGGGCTGCACTGCAAATGCCCTGTTTCGCATGCTTGGGGTCCATCGTCTTCTGGCAACCCCACCGCATCCAGCTGAGGCCGGGGGTCTGACGTCGCCAGGGCGCCTGGGCGTGGCATGTGTATATGTATGTGTGCATATGCGTGTATGAATGAGCATGTGGGTACGTGTGGATGTGTGGATGTGTGGACGTGTGGATGTGTGGATGTGTAGTGTAGTGTAGTGTACATACATGTTCGAAGACGCCGCATGGCCGGTTGTGACTCTGGGACAACGGCAGCCGCGCGGAGACTGCCGGGCGGCACCAATGGCAATGCCAAGACACGCTGCATGCCCGTGGCGCGCCTGTTGTGGCCGTCATGACCCCAAAAAACAACCACCACGTCGAGCCAGCCACCAGTGTCGAGGCCGCAAAACAGCGGGGCGAGTGCGCCAGACTTGACTTGGACAACGACTCGAGCCGAGTTGGCCATGAGTCGGACCACAGCAGCGGGCTCAATTTACACCGATCTCCAAGCTTCCCAGGTTCCTAATACCAAGTAGTGCATACGAGGACCCCACGATAGGCGCGCTCCTTTGCCCCCAACTTACATGGCCCCTTCATCTCGTTTACTTATGTATGTACCGCCATACCCAAGTCATCAGTTCATCACAACCAAGCCCGTTCAACACTACATGCTATCACCGTGACGAGTGCGCGAGCGCCACGCTACCTACTTACACCCATACTATACTGTTTATTGACAACCAGCTTCACGGACACCAAGGCGCGCTGCAGAGTCGACAGTATCATCACCGTGTTACATTATGTTCTACCGGTCCTAGTGCCATGCGGCTGCCGAGGAAGTCATCGGTCCCATGGCAGCTGAGACGGCCCAACTAAGTACGTATCTGACACTTCGCAACTAGTCCCACGATAAGGCATCCAGCCGTTATTACAAATGAACGCCGAACCCCCACTCTTGTACCGACACTTTCTGCCTGTCCCCGCAAATGTCTTGCATAGCGTTACTTGTTGCCAGGAAAAATGCATCCGACTCAGACGTTCATCGAGTTTTAGTTTTCCGCGCCAGCGTGTCTGCAGACCATCTCTTTACAGCTTGATACCAAGTATGTAGAGAGCTAGTATCCATCTGACAAAGCCATACCCCTCTCATGAGAGGCCCCGTATGCACAAGAACATCACAACTCAATCTCCTTTTCCGCCTCCTTATTCCACCTCTGAATAAACGAGGAAAGCAAAGACCAAGTACGAGCTGGACCCATGGCCAATCATTCTACCAATCAAGACATCACAAAAAACTACAAAATTTGATTGGATATTTACTCGTCACTTACCATGACTAGCAACCTACTGTTTCGTCTCTCCAGCTGCCTGCGCAGGCAAAGCTGCCAGCGCCCTCTTGAACGTATCCACCAACTTACTTGTTTCTTCCAATCCCACACTGAAACGAATAAGATCTGCTTCCACGCCCCATTTAGCACACTATGGCAAACTTGTTAGCAGTAAATCCGACACACTTCACTGAGACTCGGAACACTTACCCAATCCAACTCCCCATAATGTGCAAGAATCACATATGGCGAGCTAAGCGTAAAGTTTGTGCCTAGGCTGGGTCCCTTGACAGTGTCGAGATTGTCGAAAAAGGCAATGGCGTCGGATCTGGCATGGAATGTTGCAGAGAGCAAACCGCCATAGCCGCCAGTGGGATTACGGCATCTATCGTAGTAGGGGCGTGAAGGCGATGTTTTGGGATAGTTTACCTGTTTGACTATGTTGCTTGATGTTAGAGCGACTCAGGTGAAACACAGTCGAACAAGACAAAACTTACCACGCGGATGCGAGCTCAGCACGTCACAGATTGCCTCTGCATTGGCATTGATACGGTCGATTCTCGAGACGAAATCTCGGCTGTTGCGCTCCAGGAAAATGCTGTCTTCGGCCCAGTGGTTGTCTTCATAGTCCTCTTCCCAGGTGCGTTTGAGGAGAGTGTAGTTTTTCACTTTTGGGTTGAGCACAAGGCTGTGACATGTCAGCTGATATTAGTTGCAAACAGAAGTTTGCTTGTACTAACCCTCCACCCATGACATTACAGTCCCCACTGAAGACTTTGGTCAAACTACTGACTACAACGTCTGCGAACTGCAACACATTGACATTGATGAAGTTTCCAATCGTCTCATCTACAACAACGCAGAAATCATACTTGTCGGCTAACTTGCGTATCCGCTCAAGATCAGGCGACGTCAAAAGAGGGTTTCCGGGAAACTCTGTGAACAGAGCTAGAAACCTCTCGCCGCCTTCCAATCGCTGTTCCAGATCATCTAGTTCTTCCGAGGAGCCAAAGCCGTAGAATTGAGAGCCCGGGCCGAACTTTTCAGTAATCTTGAGTGTGTCGATATAGGGAAATCCGTATACAATGGCTTTTCTCGAGCCTTTTGCCCTTAATAGGTTTCGATGAGAGTTGAATATTGCGCTCATTCCGGTCGGATACAGATAGACATCGTCTTCTGAAAAATCTGCAACTGGTCTAGTCCTTGCAGCATCTTGATCCAGACTCATCGCCTCGGCCAGTTCGACATCTGCAGTAAGGGAACCCGCAATACGTCTTCGAACTGCCAGCTTGGCCTTCTTGGTCTTGGAGAGGTCTAGGTTGCGTCCGAATCTCTCTTCTACAAAACGAGTTGGATCTTGCACTTCTCCGTTGCCATTTGCGGGATCAGCCGAAGGAGCGAGATCGACTGATGTGTTCTTTTGGTACCGCCGGGGACCTTTGGGTGCCCTCAGTGGCTCGTTGAGCGTTGAGGCTTCTACTAGGGTGCCTTCCCTAAATAACTGGGCGCAGAACTCTGCTCTCCGGCTCGATACACCGTCACCAGAATGTTGCCAGAAAGCTTTTGCTGTGCTGAAGCGATCTTTTGGAAAGAGCACGGCAGATACTCTAGGAGATATGACGTCGGATTCTTTTGATCTTGCCTTCTCACCCGTTGGTAGGAAGTCGAGAATCCGGACTTGCGATACATTAAGATCAGGCACTTGTTGAAAAATGAACTCCTGGCATCTCGATGCGGTAGAGTGTGTTGGAAACAACATGGCACTCTCGTCCTCACGTCCATATTTCTCAGCAATTGCTGTCGCAAATGCTTGTATGCTTTTGTGAATGAAGAACCTGTCTGCGGTCAGTTATATGATTGCTGTGTCTCGCCACCACATACCTCGGATATCCCGTCTTCATCTTGCTGAGAACCCATTCTTCACCTTCCTCATAACCTACATTTGCCCGCCATGTTGGCAGCGAAACGCTCACTGCCTATCACGTGTTAGACCAAAGAGCAGCGTTGGGTAACGAAAGGTACACGCACGTGCTCGGTTGCCGGCGGAAGACTCTCGCCGACTTCGACGTCATTTTCGAGTAACATCGGCGACATTTTTGAGTGTGTCAAGAACAATGAGAGAGTTGTGTAAAACTCGACAACGGAAGGCAAATCAGATATGTATGGGGCAATGAGTCCAGTCACCCAAGAGATTATACCAAAAGCCGATTAGCTCCGACTTCGGCACTTGAAAAATAAGGTTATCGATAATGCAAACAGTCAGTTTCTCCGAGTCTCTGTCCGCCTTTCGGAGTGTCGGTGCATCCACTTTGTGCACCTCAACTGCTACGTAGTACATGCTCATCCTAGCCCCATCCTGGAGTTGCGAGTGCTCACCAGGGGTTTCAGTCTAGCATAACCTGAACACGCTCAGCACCACCAACACAGGCCGCACCACCTTCTGTACACAGTCATGGATTCGCTCACACCATCGGACCTCTTTTCACCCTCAAAGGCGCGCCAGCAACGCGCGCAAGCCCAGGACTGGGCACAAATCGACTCGTGGCTGTCGTACAAGTATGCTGGGCGCACGGTGCCGACATTTGAGCGCAATGACGAAACACTCAAGGTGCTGCGTGAGCTGTCAGTAGCCAACGAGAGGGCCGATGAAGAGAGAGCCGTATTCGAACGAGTAGAGAGAGAGGCGCTCCGCGAGCTGGACGAGGTATGAGAGCTACAGGTCCGCTTCAGCTACCATGCTCCGAGCACACTGCTCACAACGGTAGGTCCAAAGAAACGACGAAGACGAGCGTATATTGTCTAGACTGAGAGCCAGTCTCACGCCCGAGGGCGAGCAGGCGCTTGATGCGTTGGCGTCAACAGCAGTCACTCTCAACACACCCACTGCGAACCCTGAGTCGATCGCGCACGCTCTCATCTACAATACGACCACCTCACAGAATCTTACCAACCAGCTCGCACACATCGCGACGCTGCAAGGTTACGTTGACAAGCAACAGTCCCTGCTTCGGACGCAACTGCACGAGCTCCAGACGAATCCTGCTTTCACAACCCCCGCAAATCTCCAACGCCAGACCACCGAGCAAACACGTCAAGTCAAGCACCTTCGCGCCAAGATACGAGAATACGAGGACAAGCTGTCGTCTCTCCAATCATCACAGTCGCGGAGCATTACACCAGGTTCCAAGAACATTGCGTCTGCAGAAGCTATAAACGACATGTTGGAGCAACAAAAAGCCCTGGATGGGCTTCGAGAAAAGGTAGAAGGCATAGAAAGGGAGGTCGCGGAGTTTGCTGGATTGCCTGCTGATAAAGAGGCTGCAAGGAAAGAGGTTGGCAAGTTAGAGGTCAAACTTGACGATGTGCGAAAGCGAAGAGACGAACTGTTTGAGGGATTGGTGACACAGTAATGGTACAAATGGATTGATCGTAGGGTGGCTAGCACGCCCTGCATGTGCAGACTCAAGCCTTTGTCCGCTCGGATTTGTTGTTGAAACTTCCTTTTTGACCAACTTACGCAGGCGCATCCGTCAAGGGCACGTACTGTACACCATATAACTTTTGGCGCTCGAGGCTTCCGTCCGCTCGCTTGTCAATTACCCAGATATGTTGCGCCCAGCCCTCCGCGACAGGTACGAACAAGCGCCCTGGTGCTTTGAGCTGGTCGGTCAGGATTTGATGGTGCTCGGCAGCCGCAGCGCCAACATGGATAGCGTCGTATGGTGCACCCTCGGCCCAACCTTTTCGTCCGTCTCCAGTAACAAACTTGACCTGTCCCGACTCCAACATCCTCCGGCCTTGGTCCGACTTGGACATGTTGGCTGTCGCTAAATCGTTCAAGGGCTGAATGTGATCAATGCCAGTTACCGTTCCGTTGGGCGCGACAAGGTTGGCGAGGACTGCGGTTAGGTAGCCTGAGCCTGAGCCGACATCCAAGACCTTGGATCCAGGCTTGAGATAGTCGAGGAGCGATTCGCAGGCCGAGGCATGCATATGCGGGGCAGAGATGGTCGCACGGTGGCCGATGGGCTGGGGCGAGTCTTCGTAGGGCGAGGATGGGGCATAGTGCGCGCGATCGACCTATGCATCTTCATCGGTTGCCACCTTACCTATGGTGTTAAGGCTTCCTACCTTTAACATTGCATCCTTGACCCTGTCAGACTTGATAAGCTTGTTGCTCGCAAGATTGGTGACGAGAGCCTCATTAGTATCACCAGAGCTTTGCCAGGCCATGCTGAAAGCTCTGCTTGGTGTATAGCTACGCGTAGACCTGGTGAAGAAGAATGGACCGCAAGCGCGGGTAAGTTTTGTTGGGAAAGGCACCGTGGGTAGTGATACAAAGATGGAAGGTAGCGAAGAGTGTACGGTCAGGCAAGCGTATTCGTACAGAAGAAATAGTATTACATGAATGTATTAGAGTACCGGGATGATTACTCAAGAAAACACAACTGAAGTTTATATCGTGGCAAGCTGTTCCCCTCACTGAGTCTGAGTGAGGGGGTCATACATAAAGAGACGCGCATGAGGTGTCATGACCCTAGCACCCAAGCATGACATGCTACATCCCTGCTTATCGATAAGGCACTCCCGCGGGAAAAGTTCCAGAGAAATTTCGCGTCGCATGCGACAACCTTCACCACGCAAAAATGGCACCGCCCGCAATTAAACGAAGAAAGCTCGAGCACAGCGACTCGGAAGCAGAGAGCGAAGGGAGCTTTGCCGAATTTGACGAAACCAACAGCGGTGCAGATTTAAATGGAAGCGACGCTGAAGATGGGCATGACGAGAGCGACGACCTCTCCATGGATGGCGCGCAAGAGATAGAGGATGGCGACAATGACGACGAAGAAGATGAAAACATGAGTGAAGACGAGGAAGAAAGCCCCGAAGCTGAGGAGAGCGTTCAGGAAAGCAAGAAGCAGACCACAACCGCCAAAGCCACGAGCGCACCAAAGCCACCCAAGCGGCCAGCACCCAGTCTCCAGGACGGCGTCTACACTGCAGAGTCCTTCAAGTCGAACATTTTCAAGCTTCAGGTAGACGAGCTGCTTGAACAGGTCAAACTCAAGTACGGCAAGAAGGAGGCACCTGCTGAGAATGCAATGCGAACCCTTAAGACTATAATCGAGCAGATTCCTAGCCGCGACCCACTTCCAGTAAGCCAGGTTCGTTATATACATCATCAGCGAATACTAACATACTATAGATTGTCAAGGCCGAAAAGGCTCTCCAATCAGCTGGCATCGCGATTCCCTTCCCTAGCCCTCGTCCACCGAAAGATGCTTTGTACAAACTGCAATACGAACGACCTGCAAGCGTAAACGCAACCGGTAGCTACCCCCTCAAAACTGCGACTCGAGCCGAGGAAAGATTTGCGATTGATCTTGTCGTGACCATGCCGAAGAGTCTGTTCCAAGACAAAGATTATCTGAACCACCGATACTTCTACAAGCGCGCATATTATCTGGCTTGTTTGGCGGCAGGGATCAAGGCCTCAAAAGAGCACAAGTTTGATTTGTTCTTTGACCGCTTGAATGGGAACCAGCTTCAGTCTGTTCTCGTCGTGCGACCGAGCGGCAACGGCGATGCGGACGATTTTTCTAGCTCAAAATGTCAGATCAACGTGCTGGTGGCGCTCCCAGAACACACTTTTGCTCAGAATAAGCTTCTCCCAACCTCCAATTGCGTCCGACCCAAAGGTAGCGAAGACGAAACTTCCAGCAAAACGCTCGCAGCGACGCCTTTCTACAACAACAGCCTGCAATCTGATGCGAACATCACAGCATACCTCAAGCTCTTGCACGGCACAGCCTCAAAGGCTGAAGCTTTCAAGGATGCATGCATATTGGGGCGCATTTGGCTGAAGCAACGCGGATTTGGCAGTCAGATTCGCAAAGGAGGGTTCGGGAACTTTGAGTGGGCTGCTATCATGGCTATTTTGCTTCAGCCAAATGCTGGAACAGGTGCTCAGTCAGTCTCTTCAAGTTTCAGCAGTTATCAACTATTCAAGTCGACGCTGCAGTTTCTGTCGCGTGGAGATCTAACGAAGAAGCCATTCATTTTCCAAGCATCCAACATCACTATTACCAAGGCAGAAACCGCCCCCGTCGTCTTTGACGGACCACGAGGACAGAACGTGTTGTTCAAAATGACGCCCTGGTCGTACAAGCGTCTGCAATCAGAAGCAAAGGCTACCGTCGACATGTTGAGCGATTCTGTATTCGATCAGTTCGATGCAGCCTTCATTCTGAAGACTGAACTGCTCAAGTACCGATACGATGCAACACTCGAGATTCCCCTTGCTTCGCTCGGCCTCGAAGCTGGAAGCGAAGAATACGATTCGCAGCTTGGCGAAACTTGTCGAAAAATACACAGCACCCTGACCCGTGCGCTGACCGATCGTATCACCGCTATATCCTTCACCATGCCTGAGGAGGAAAGCTGGTCAACATCCTCAAGGCGCCCTCAGGAAAAGCAAAGCAAGAGCATCCTTATCAACTTCGAAATAGATCCTGCCAACGCCACTCGCACCGTGGATCATGGGCCTCCAGCAGAAAACAAACAGGAGGCTGCTGTCTTCCGCAAGTTCTGGGGCGAGAAAGCTGAACTCAGGCGCTTCAAAGATGGAAGTATCCTGGAAAGTGTTGTTTGGACGGTAAAGGACACATCAGCGTCTGTCATGGAGCAACTTGTTCTCTACATACTTAGCAGACACCATGGTACACAGGTATCTGAGCAAGCCAGGTTCAGGATTGATACATTTGGCCACCTTGTAACAGCAGGCCGTATGCAGGGACAGTCTGGCATCACGCCCTTTCTCCCCATTATGAACGCGTTTAGTGCCATGGAAAAAGACATTCGGGACTTGGAAGAGCTACCACTTCAACTTCGCCATCTAAGAGCTGCCGATCCGCAACTACGGTATGCGTCTGTTGATGTTCCAACTGTGGGCCACGCTCCAGCATCAGTTGTATTGCAATTCGAAGGCTCTGGGCGCTGGCCGGACGACTTGTGCGCCATTCAGCGGACTAAGATTGCCTTCCTCCTCCGAATGGCTGAGCTTTTACATAAACTGGAGTCTGGCTATGTCGCCCGTGTTGGTATGGAAAATCCCTCACAGCCGGCTCAGAACCAGGCATTCTTGGATGTAACAGTTGCTACGGGCTTCACGTTCCGCATTCGCATCTACCATGATCGTGAGCCTACGTTATTCGAACGTCAAATCAAGGACAAATCATTGGACACTCAATCGCGCGAGTCTGCTGCCGCTTCTCTGGCACTATACAAACGCGAATTCATCCAATCGCCTCAACATTCGCAAGCACTACAGACGCTCTGCACTAGATTCTTGGCACTTTCACCAGCGATACGACTGACAAAGAAATGGTTCGCGTCACATCTGCTCGCACCACACTTTTCGCCCGAGCTCATTGAACTACTTGTTATACGGACGTTCCTACAGCCTCAGCCATGGCCTGTACCATCAACAGCAACGACAGGTTTCTTACGAACATTATCGTGGATCAGTCGATGGGACTGGCGTCATTTCCCTTTGATCGTGGATTTCTCAACATCCTTCTCCGCTAATCCTGCAAACCTTGAAGACACGTCTTTGAAGGGCATGAAGTCAGAAGATATTGACCGCTTACGAACACGCTTCGAGGCATGGCGACGTATCGATCCCGCTATGAACCGTGTCGTACTTTTCGCAGCTACAAACCTCGATGAGGAAGGCACGACTTGGACAGACAAAGCAAAGCCAGAAAAGGTCGTTGCTGCGCGTTTGACAGCTCTGGCCAAAGCAGCCACGCAGGCTGTTCGCACAGACGAAGATGGCTTGTTAAAGCAGATCAGCAACAACAAGGAAGCATCTAAAGTATACGATGCTCTAAGCCCAGAGTCCCTCTTCGTCCCCAGCATATCAGAATTCGACATCGTCATTTCCATCTCATCAAAACACAGCCTCAAATCGTCCAAATCCCGCAAACCCGCCACCCAATTCAAGAACCTCGACCTCCAAAAGTCATCAAGCCCCTTGCCCGCACCAACTCCACTTCCCCAGCTCTTTGCCGGAGAACTCTCAGAAGTCTACGGCGACGCAGTGCTGTGGTTCTGGGATCCAGAGAGTCTGGATAAGATTGTAGGACTGTGGAATCCGGTTGTTACAGGTCAGAGAAGTTGGAAGATCAAGGTTGGGTGGAATAGTGTGCCTGTCGGAAAGAAGGATAAGGTTGAAATTAGGGTGAACAAAGAGGCAATCGTACATGAAGTTAAGAGGTTGGGTGGGGAATTAGTGAAGAGTGTTGATGCGAAGTTTTGAACTGGGGTTGTAAATAGTATCGAAGTTCGAATTTAACAAGTGCACTTTCCAAATCTATATACCAAATCAGGGGAGTTGATACGGTGATACTCATATAACGGAACCAAGGGGAATATACACGCTACGCACTTCTCTCCCATACCTTACCGCTAATACTGAACTTACGCAACCCAAAAGTGGCTTAGCCAACTCGAGTGGATCTTGCGTACCAACCCCGAGTCCACACTTTACCTGCCAATTCTAGCGACTTCCTCCATTCTGTAATTAGGCAACCACTGAAAAACAAATATACTGTCTTGCAGAATCAAGCAAGTACTCTGGTCCCTAGCACGCGAGCGAGGCTGAGCACCGCCTGGTACCCACTTGGATCTAGATCCTGGAGGACGAGGGTCTGAGCTTCAGACGCAGGATGGAGCTTGATTAAGGCTTTCGTTGGGTCTTTTATTCTTTGGAGGGGAGGTTGGAGGAGACAAGGGGGGGGGAGGGGAGGAATGGATGGGGCGGGTGCAAGTAGAAGCGAAAAGGGTTGGGGAAGTTGAGGAATGAGGTTATTAGGATTGAGTAGGGGGGTTGTATAAAGGGATGAGATGAGAAGGTGGGATTGAGAATAGAACTTTACTCTCTTTTTTCTAACGCTGTGTGTTTCGTGAGATTGTAATCGACAAAACTGAGCTCTAACACGCCTTTTGGTTCGTTCGAGGGGTGGAGGGGGGATGGCGTGGTGCAGTATCGAGGTATCAAGTATGCTTTATTAAAGGATCAAATGGCGGTTCCTGAGCTGGTTACTGAATATGAGCCTGAAAAGGTGGATGTGACGTAGTTTGAGTATGTTGGGTTTTATTTCTCCCCTTTCTTAACGCTCCTGTTTGTACAGATTGTATGTTGAGTATTTGCAAGGCTAATATTTTGGCTCAACAGGCCCCGCGCACCTGCAATGGATGGTTGCGCCTTTGAGCAATCCGCGCTGATACAGTGTGATATTGGCAGCGATCCGGATCTTTCCATGTCAGGCACGGAGTGCTTGAGTCTGAATGTGACTGTTCCTCCTGACACTTCTGTGTCTGGAGTACTGCCAGTCATGATCTTTATTCATGGTGGCGGCTTCATCATGGGTGGTTCACACTGGCCGCAACATGATCCTTGTCGGCTGGTTAAGATGTCTGTGGAAATGGACATGCCTGTTGTCGTGGTCAATATCAATTTTTGCCTGGGTATACTGGGTAACCTAACCAGCGAGGAGTTGAGAAAAGCGGGATATTCTGGGAACAACAGCTTGAGGGGCCAGCAGTGTGCGCTGAGATGGGTGAATAAATTCATTGGAGGTTTTGGAGGGGACGGGGATAATGTGACGGTGTTTGGAGAGAGTGCTGGTGCTGGTGAGTCCAATGTTCACTCGTTCAGTTCTCTACTGAGTGAATGGCTTTGTGAGGGAGGGCATACTGGCGTGAATTTAGTGTCGACTTTGCATCAACTAAGTGCTGAAGAGCCATTCTTCAAGCGTGCGATCAGCATGTCCGGGACACCGCTCATGCTTCAGCCAATGTCTGCCTCCACCGCCGAAGCATCTTATAACAGCATTATAAAAGCTGCAGGGCTTGGAAGCGCTTCGACGCAAGAAAGAATCAATCATTTTCTCAACATCAGCCCGGAAGAGCTTGTCAAAATACCCATGAACGTTCCTCTCATTCTTTTCCAGGACAACGACATCCTTCCTCAAACCCAACGTTTGCGGACCTGCGAAACAATAACCTCTCACTTTTGAACAACAGGTTTTGCGAATAACTCTTCATCTACTCTTGTGCTCATGATGGAAGCATTTTCTCCTTCATGAGTCTATCTTCGCTCTTCTCAAATATCCCGTCTGCTATCATTTCCTCCTTGTCTCGCTCCCTTTCTGCATCGGCAGCTCACATCGTCCTTTCTCCATACGGCATCAATTTTTCGACACCCGACGACGAAGCAAAAGATTTCATCATCGACCTAGCTACAGACTTCGCATATCATGTACCTGGGCAACACTATGCTTGGGCTTTCGAGGGCCAAACTTGTACATACATATTCAATCAAGGAAATCCTTGGGATGGGATGTTCAAGGGAAAGAGTACGCATTTGCTTGATGCGGCATTCTTGTTCCAGAACTTCAATGATCATATGGATGATGAGGCGAAGCAAACGGCCAGGAGGTTTGCAGAAATCTTTGTAGTATTTGCGAATGGAAAGGCAAGTGTAACATGGGAACATGATATGGAAAGAAATTACGGCAAAGGCGGTTGTGAGAGGAATGAATTGGAGAAATTGGCAAAAGAAGAAAATGTGGGTTTGGATGAGTTGAGTGGGGCGTGGGATCTGTTCTTGGCCGGAAAATGAATAGGAGATCATGGATTAAAAGTCACGATGATGCCGATTAGAATTGATAGGTGAATTAGCATACCAATTATATTGGCTTGATGGTGAGCGAATGCTACACGAAGATTTGGGAATAGCGAGAAGGCGCTAAACTAAAATCAAGGAAATCGCATACCAACCACCTTATCAAGTAGGAAAATAGGGTTTTGAGTGTATCTTCTCGAATTCGACTTACTGAAATAGATCTAGGGTCTAATCATTCACATAGTAGTACTAGAAAATACCTGGCAGGTGCCGAGAAATCTATAGGAAAGCAAGATAATGAGAAACATCATGCGGCACAATTCCAAAAAAATATCAAAGACATCATTAAGTGTTAAAAAGTAAACATCCCTATGATACTGCATGAAATGCTTTGCGAGGTGTCCCACACGATTACGTCCAACCACTTTCACCCCGCACGTTCCAAGTAGTTGAGTGAGGGGAATCTCAAACTACCCCACGACAATTCCAGCAGATCGCATGTGGGGTCACTCCATCGCCATATCCGCGCCCAGCGACGACAGCGACTCGCACAACCGGAGAACTTATGGGCCCGGCAAAGATGCGACCTCGGATGTGGGCCTTTGACGGGACCCCTCTGGATCAATTGTCGCAGCGGCACTTTGTTACCCCACAAACCCCTTCTCCTACTCTCAGGACTTATTGGAAACAGAATTAGTACAGAATCTTCTCTTGCGTGAACTTTACCCGAGTCCAAGACACAGACTCCATTGAGTCAATAACTTTGTGCATACTGCATCTCCATATCGACTAGCAAGATTCTACAAACCCCGTCCAACCCGTCACCAAAAGCGACAATGTCCAAACCCGTAGCCATCGTAACAGGCGCCGGCTCAGGTATCGGCGAAGCAACAGCAACCCACCTGTACTCCTTAGGCTACAAAGTTGTCATCGCCGACCTAAATCCCACCTCAGGCCAACGCGTCACCTCCGCCCTGGGCAAAGACGCCCTCTTTCACCAAACAGACGTATCATCCTACAAATCGCAAGCGCAGCTCTTCAAGCGTGCTTATGAATGGGGCGGTAACCGCCTCGATTTCTGCCATGCCAACGCTGGAATCGATGATCGGCAGAATGTTCATGAAAGCATGGACAAGGAAGAGGTGGATGAGGAGGGACTGGTTAAGAAGTTGAATACGAAGACTATAGACGTGAATCTTGAGGCTGTGATACAGGGGCTTTGGCTGTTCAAGTATTATGTGAGAAGGAGTAAGGAGGCGGGTGGGGGGAAGGGATATTTTGTTGCTACGAGTAGTGCGGCGGGGCTGTAGTAAGTACCTATTCTTTCTGTTTCGCAATGTTTGTTCAAGGGAAAAGAAGGACGGTACGTAGTCATAGAGTTGGGCTAACGAGAAGAACCATAGCTTCATGCCACAATGCCCCCAGTACACAGCCAGCAAATACGGCGTCATAGGCTTCGTCAGGGCTTCCGCCCCAAACTTCATCAACGAAAACATCACCGTCAATGCCATTTGTCCGGCGTTCATCCCGACGAATCTTTGTCCCCCAGAAGTAGCGGCGCGCTGGCCAAAAGAGCACATTACCCCGTTTTCGACTGTGCTCAAGGCTATTGACGCTTTTTTGAATGACGATAAATTGACGGGACAGGCGGTAGAGTTATCCCAGGAAAATATATATTTCAGACAGCCTGTTGATTATGCGAATGAGAGTCAGCAGTGGATTGGGCTCGAAAGTGATAAGATCTGGAATGAGGGTTACAAGGAGCCACCAAAGAGAAATGGGTATTAAATATTGATGATTTCGTTGTAGATATGAACAAAAACTATAAAAACAGCTCTCGTGATCAAACAGCCAAAAAAAAACCCAGTTCCTCTGTTTAAAAGTCCAACCCTTTCTCTGCCATCTTACTTTCCTCTCGCATGATACTAGCATGCTTTTCGCTTCGGGGCCGGATATCGCATTCGAACTGCTGGGGCACGCTGAAGAAGCCTGGCTCCATATTCGCATTGACGGGAACTTCACTGCCGTCTTTACATTTTTTCTTCAATAGATGGAAACCCCAGAGGACGCGGGATACGTTGATGAAGAGAGAGCGCTCAGCAACGTGAACACCAGGGCATGCGCGTCTACCTGCACCATATGAGAAGTGGTCGCGTTCAGAGGGGTCAGCGGTGTTCATGTAGTGTGCTGCGGACGCGGTGTGGTTGAGGTAGCGAGAAGGATCGAAAGCGCTTGGGTTAGACCATAAGTCGGGATTGTAGTGTATAGCCCTGTTCGAACAGTTTGCATCAGTTTTCGGAGTTAATACAGAAGAAGAGGCAACTCAAAATGTAGTTGGAAGGGGAAAATGACTTACCACCAATTCAACACAACAACACTCCCCTTGGGAATAAACATGCCCTCATACCAATCATCCTCGCTAGTCGCATGTGGCATCCCAAACTTATTTACAGGCCTCCACCTCATCACCTCCTTGATTACACTCCGCACGTACGGTAGATTCGCTTCGTCTTCCCACTGCGGCAGCCTCTCACTACCAACCACACAATCCAACTCCTCCTGCGCCCGTTTCTGCACCTCAGGGAACAACACCATACAAAGCATAAAGTTATTCAGCGTCGTTCCCGTGGTTTCCGAGCCTGCTTCGATGAGGCCGCCGCAGGTATATGCAGCAGCAAGATCATCGATACCCGCTTTGGCCGGATCATTGAGATAGAACGTCTTTGTGAAGCAGTCCTTGGCTATGCCGGCATCAGTTTCTTGTTTGAGTCTGTTCCAGAGGTCAACGTATACAGCGCTGTCTTGTTCGAAGACGCGCTGGCCGTAGGATCGCCAATTTCCCATGAGTGCCTGCGGGACCCATGTTAGGGATGGAAAAGACTCGATAGCCCATGCGCCAGGCGAAGTCATCTCAGTGAAGCGGTCGAGTACGCTGTAGATGCGCTTGATTAAGGGATCGTCCCAGCTGGGGATCCGGTACCCGTATGTGACTCGCATGATGACGCTGGCGGAATAGCGGCGGTTGATATCCATGAAATCGTTAGGATCTTGCAGCAGTTCTTTAAGTAGAACTTTGCTTTCAAAGTCCTGTATCATCTGGTAGTTTGTGCTGGTGGATAGATTGAGTAGGGCATGGCTGTGCTTGCGGACACTGCGCCAGCGTGGGCCGTAGGGCATAAAGAGTTGACGGCGGCCTGCGGATGCAACGTCCTGGGCTAGAGGGGAGGGAGAGCGTGAGGAGTAGATGCCGGATTTTCGGTCCATAAGGTCTTTTACTACTTTGGGTGAGGACAGCCAGATGTAATCTGTGCCTCCGATTTTCGTGTAGTAGATGTCGCCATACTGCGCGCGCCATGCGTTGACTGTGTGGCGTATGGCATCGTTGTCTGCGAGATCGAGAAGGGATCCAATAAAGGGGAGGCCTTTGGGCCCTGGGGGGAGATGACGGCGTCGTGGGTCCTATTGTTGTCACTGGTTAATCTTTCTCGGTCAAGTGTGTAACGTGGGCATATTTGTACCTTGATGGAATTTGGGACGATAATGAAGTATATAGCTAAGAGGGTGAGTATCGGTATAGCAATGCCCAAAGTAACTTTCAGATACAAGGGACTTGCCCAAACACTTCCAAAAATACCCAAAATAGTCATGGTAGAAGATATGTACTATTAACGATTTTGACTATTCAAACTGAAAGATTGTCCTTTTTTTCCAAAGCCAAACATCACTTATTCATATTAATTTCTCGGTCACTCGGCTTCACCAGAGCCACTTGTTTCCCCTCTGCAAGTAAATCGCGATGCTGCATCGATCCCCGCATGGGGTGGACGTGCATGATCCCCATTCTCCTGGCTTTTCCCCGCACTGCCCCAGCCCCACAAAGTTGCAGCAGGGACGCAGGGATCCTCTAATCTGACCCATTGTGTATACGGCAATTATGCGATTGCGCGAGCAGCTGCTTGTGAAATGCTCTAAACATGTTCATTTCAAAGTCCTTCTGGGCTTCAGCTGATTAGTTTAGATATCCAGTGGAACATTGATTCAACAATATCAAGCTACCTATTCTCCCTATTTAACTATCCTGGCTCCAACTCCGTGTTGATAAAATATCAACAACATCAGCAACATAAAATGCCACTTGAGCATTCCTCCTCAGGCCGAACCTACGTCCTCCATCCCAACGGCCAAAGGTCCCACTACGTCCTTAACGACTTTACTGATCCCTGGAAGCCACATGAAACAATACTAATTCAACACGGATTCGGCCGCCACTCCGCATTCTGGTACCACTGGATCCCAGCGCTATCCCGCCACTACCGCGTTGCAAGACGAGATCTGCGAGGACACGGGTACTCTGGTTATCCTGACCAGAAACAAACCGTCTCATCAACTGAAGACGGAATTGCTGAAAATGATAAAAGAGAAGAAGATAGGGACTACGAATACAATGTCGACACGATCATCGGAGAGATAATAGATACGCTAGATCAACTTGGATTGCAAAAGGTGCATTTTCTGGGAGAATCAACGTCAGGGATGCTAGGTGAGATACTCGCAGCAAGGCATCCAGAGCGGCTGCTCAGTCTGACCATATGCTCGTCGCCTACGCATTTGCCGCCGCCTGCGCTGCAGATGTTTGCTTTCGGCCACAAAGATTGGCCTACTGCGTGTCGGCAGCTGGGGGCGCGTGGGTGGACGGAAGCGTTGGCCCGGGTACCGGGCACGATTCCCATTTCAGACAGTGGGTATTTGCCGTGGTATTTGGGGCAAGTTGAGGTTGGCGATGGTGAAGGGCTGGCGCAGTATGCGGAGTTTTTGTCTACGCTGGATGCGAGGCCGTGGCTAGAGAAGATTAAGGTGCCGACGCTGATATTGAGTCCGACCCAGAGTGTGGCTGTCAAGGTTGAGGATATGGAGGCTCTCAGAGATAGAATTCCGGGAAGTCAGTTGGTACCGATAGATGGACCTGGGCACGAAATATATGTTACACAAGCAGAGGAATGTCAGCAAGCGTTTCTGGGATTCTTGGAAGGGTTGAAGAAGAAAACTGACACTGCTAAGCTGAGTTAACATGAGTTTTGATTACTAATTGACTATTTCATAATACAATAAGCATGTCCAAGACAGGCTGAGGAAGAACTTTTTCAGTCCTTTCACAATCAAAGTCGCCCACCTTTGCAGTCAACGCCGATTATGCAACCGTGAGTGGGTTTTTTTCGCCATCCCCAATGCCCCGCTACAAGAAAAAAATATGATATACAATGCGTACAAGTAATTACACGAGCCAGAAAAGAATATAGACAATGACATGCCCTGAGGCTCAAGCGTGTCGGGATTCCTGTTCTCGTCGTTCATTCATGTCGAGGGCGATCTTCTTGCTGAACTCGTAGCAGCTAATCATGATGGCACAGGCCGGGGCGATTTTCAGACAACGAGCAGCCCAGCCCTTAAACAGGCCAGGCATACCTTGTTCGCGATAGATGTGCATCAGGAAGCGTGGTATGGACTGGTCCTCTGGGCGTGCTCTGGCGACGTCGCGCGCATTGTCTCCCATATGGCGCACGACTTGCTGCCGTGTCTTTCCTACGTCAAAAGGCGTTGTGACAAAGGCGGCCACTGCTCCTGAGGTAGCACCCGCGACGAAGCTATCCACCAGGGTATCGCGGTGGTTTTCCTGGCTTCTTGATCGGCTTCTTCTTCGTACTCTTTCTTCACCTCGGCCCATGCGGAATTCGAACCCTTCGTCTCTTGCAACTCTTCTTCCTCTTTGGTCTGTCAGGGTGTTCCTCGTAGTCTCATAACCCCACCAGTAAATGGCTGAAAAGGGCACGTCACGCCAAAGGGTCAAAGTGAGACCTCTCCAGAGGCTGAAGACACCTTGGCTGGCGACCATGTTCCTGAGACCGTCCAATGTCTCACGAAAGTGTCCAGCAGCGGTTGCCGGATGGTTTGCGGCCTGCATTCTTGTTCGAAACATTTCAATGGGACTGACGGCGATGGCGGCAAGGACGCGGGCGGTGGCTCCAGCGACGAGAGGTATATAGGGATCGGCTATGTTCTGGCGCAACGGTGATGCACTGGCTGTGCGTAGCCAGTCGTAACCAGCAAAGTAGATGACGTTTGCTGGAACTGTCATGACGAGAGTTGGAGACAGCCCCCGCCAGAGTGTGCGGGGCCCCTCGTTCTGCGCAATCTTGCGCAAGCCGTCCCATGTGCTGTTGATGGTTCTCCGCTCCACCTCTTCTACAGCGCAGTGCAAGTCGGCGGGGTTGATAGGTGCCATTGTGGGTCCAGCTACACAGAAGGGTGCTTTGTTGTTGACCCAAAAGACTTCTCGACAACATGCCGATATGCCGAGGTTGGGGGGCAGATCGCGAAACTGTGTTAGTGACGGGCCAGTGGCTCCGCTGGGTCGTGAGAAGGCAGCGCTCGGGGCGGCCTCTTGTGATTGTAATCGCACGCGGACGACATCGAGGGGTGTTACTGTCACAGTCAGAAGGGATGTTTGCGAGACGAGTACCCGAATGTGCAGGCGGGCAAAGAGAACATACCCAGCAACGAAGTGAGCAGACTGCCGGATACAGCGGACAGCATCTTCTGGCCCAGCGAAACTTCAGTGGCCGGGTTGGCGTCGGCCTCGTGGGCTCGCGCTGTGGCCGCAGCCATTATGGTGGTGGTGGTGGTTGTGAAGGTGGCGGATTGGTGTTGAGTATGGAGATTGATAAGCAAGTAATTGTTGATCAAATGGAAAGGTAGGCGAGTGGCGGAGTGCGTGCTTGTCCCAGCAGAGGGGACGTGTTAGCCGGAAGCCGCACTGGGGGAGGATTGGAGATGCCAGAAGCAGGCGAGGGGCGTGGAGGGCATCGTCTTGTGCAGTGATGGCGGCCTACGAGTGGTGACGATGGCGAGGGGACGCTTTGACGCAACAAAAGTGAATTATCGGACCTGGAAGCTTTTGGCGCGTCATGGGCCAGCCCCGCGCTCGCCCGCTCATTGGTCCGCAGGCCGAACCGGCGCAGGAGACAGGCCGAAAGGGCGCGGAGCTTATCAGATGCAGATGGCCAGCCTACCGTCGTGCACACTACCTACCGGGTGGCGCCCATCATCATATCGTCGACGTCTGCGAACGCCCTTCGCCCATCAAACGCCCTTGCACGGCTGTGTGCCCAGACTATTTCATTTGATCCGCGCCGTGCTGAAATACAGGCCCTTGGTACACTCGTGCTGCTAGGTTCCCGACATACATACACTACTTATGTAAGCCACTGCGTACATCCTGTACTGCTACCGCACACACCCGCCCGCCGTATCCACCGTAACCTCAAGTCCCGTGACCACGTGCGACTTCGGATATCCCGTATCTAACCGCTACCCACCACGCCCTGGCGGCCAACTAAGTACAACATGGATCCTAATAACGTACCTACAAACACCGAGGCCGAGTTGGAATCTTTCCGTCGGAAATGGAGGGAAGAGGTCACCGCCCGCTCAAAGGCCCAGGCGCCCGCTGCATCCTCGAGCAAGCCCCGTCCAACCAAGGCCAATCCAACACAGGCTCAGTCTCACGCCCACTCCCACGCTCGTAAATTGAGTCTAGAGGGCGGCGACGAGGTTCAATCTTACATATACCGTAATCTTGACGACAAGCAGCATGGCCGGAGACTGGATGAAACCCCCGCTGAGACCGCTGCCGCTCTTGCAAAAGGCAAAGAACCTACCTCTGCCCTGGAGCATTATGAGAAGGCTGTAGAAAAGGAGAGTCAGGGCAATCTGGGTGAAAGCGTAGATTTGTATAGAAAGGCTTTTAAGGTGGGTTGCACTTTTATTGTTGCGTTTCAAGTTCTCAGCTGACTCTGTGCAGCTCGACTCTAGAGTACAGGATGCATACAAAGCAAAACATTATCCACCATCCTACTTCAAGAAGCTTCAAGCACAACATATACCTACTGCTTCATCTTCATCAACAGCTCCAGCACCGGTACCGGCATCGAAACCACAGGACCCAAACCCCTCCAATGCATCGGTCACGGTACCAAACACCGCCCACCATTCCCTCCATGGCCTTTCCTCTTCTCTGCAGACCCTAATCAGCGGATACTCACAAACTTCTATTCTCGGCGAGCCTCCACCAACAGATCTCAGTCCTGCACCACCGTGTCCCATCATCAGCATTCCCGAGGAAATAGTCGTCGAGATTCTCGAGCAGCTCGCCGTGCAGGATCTCGCCTCATTTGTCCGCCTATCCCAAGTATGCAAACGGCTCGCCTACTTGGTACTGACCGAAGACCGAGTCTGGAAACGTCTAGCCCTAGGTGACGAGTACGGCTTCGGAGGCATGCACTACACCTATACCTGTGGCATTGACGGCAAACCGCTCGAAGACGAGGAAGGCATCATCTTGGGCACCGCAAACCTTAGTCTCTCAGACTCCGACGACCCAGACCAATTAACTTCGGAACCAGCCCCCTCTCCTGCAGCGCTAACCCAACTCCTGGTTCCCTCACCCTACCCCAGTTACCGCACGTTGTTCCGCCAGCGACCCCGCATCCGTTTCAACGGGTGCTACATCAGCACAGTGAACTACGCACGCCCCGGCCAAGCCCAACCCACAACCTCAACCTGGAACTCGCCCATCCACATCGTCACCTACTTCCGCTACCTACGCTTCCTCCGCGACGGAACTTGCATCTCCCTGCTGACTACCTCGGAACCCCCAGATGTAGTACCCTACCTGTACATTGAGCACCTGCACAAAAGCCATCATAATCTCCCCACCGCCCCGATGAAAGACGCCGTCCTCGGCCGCTGGCGCCTCAGCGGCCCGGAAATCTCTTTGCCGCCTGGCGAAGAGGGTCTAGACGTGGAGACGGAAAAGGAAGGAACTTTGCATATTGAGACACCAGGTGCAACACCCAAATACATATATAGAAAGGCCCTCACCGTCGGTAGTGCGGGCAAGAACGCAAAGATCAACAGACTTGTCTGGCAGGGCTACTGGAGCTACAACCGCTTGACGGATGATTGGGCAGAGTTTGGCCTGAAGAATGATCGCGCCTATTATTTCAGTAGAGTCAAGAGCTATGGCATGAGCTGGGATGAAAGGGGCATCAAGCTCCATTAGTAGACACTGGCTGCCTCTTTTTGCATTGCACTGCATGGGATATAATAGACAAGGAGTGTAATAACACCAGCGGGCATCTCGCATTAGAACAAGCTCTTGGTGGATTTCATCATGTAGATTTTGTCATCTTGTCGTCGTCGTCTTTGGGCATTATTCATAGACAGCCGGGCTTCACAAATCGCACACCTTCAGCATTCCTCTATCCTGGTATACATTGTCTCCCTGTCCCCTTCAACTCTTTACCGTCGGGGCATGCCACGGCCACGGCCGCGACCACCCCCACCGAGCGCCCTTTGTGCCGCACCGGGCGGAAGTGGCTTGTTGGGTGCTTGTGCCTGCTGTGATTCTTGGTTCTCTGTATACCCGTTAGTGTCCGCTTCTCTCTAACTCAATACTCGAATATCTTACTAATTGTCTCGTCAACGCTCAGAATCAGGCAGGCTGCCTCCGTCGCTGCCTGTAGAGCATTGATCTTGACCAGGCTCGGCTCCCACACAAATCTCTCCATGTTGTTCGCTATGCTCTCAGTAGTGAAGTCAACACCGGCCCAGAGGTTACCCTTCTTGTGCTCCACACGTAGTCGGTTGAGAATATCAGTCGCATCCACACCGGCATTGTCGCACAGTTGTCGGGGAATAACTTCCAGAGCCTTTGCGAATGCCTTGATAATCGGTTGCTGCTTGTGGGGAATATTGCTGTCGGCATAGTTGTGGAGGTAGGAAGAAATCTCCATCTCGACTGCACCTCCTCCAGCAACAATGTTGTGGTTCTTGATTGCACGTTTGACAATCATGATGGCATCGTGCAAACTTCGCTCAACCTCGGCGATGAATTGTTCTGCTCCACCACGGAGCACCAGTGTGCAAGTCTTGGCCTCGGGACAGCCTTCAAAGAAGTTGAAGCGCTCACCACCAATTTGTCGCTCTTCAAACAGTTCACAGCTTCCAAGGTGCTTGCTCTGGATGTCGGAGCAAGTCGACTGGATGCTGGCGCCTGTTGCTCTGCATACACGGTCAAGGTCGTCGGCCGATACTCGTCCAGCACAGAAGATGTCGCGGTCCGCAAAATACTGTGTTGCCAAATCACCAATTGGCAGCTTGCTCAGAACGACCTTGGCGCCCGTCTTGTAAAGTGCCTCCATCTTGTTGTAGATAATTTGCCATTCCGCATCCACAATCGCCTGGTATTCCGAGACCTGCTCCACCCGTACCTCTGCGTTGTCCTTTTCGCTCTTCAGCTCGAGTTCGACGTTCAGACATACGATCTTGGGTTGCGTGAATTTCTTCGGTTGCTGCTCGAAGCCGGCATACGAGAAGGTCTTCTTGAATGCGACACCGTTGACAAAGAGGGAATCCTGGAGAGCACCACCAGTAATCTTCTTGATTCCAATGAGCTTCTCATTTAGCTCCTCTTGGTCGAGCGAGAGCACTGCGTCCACGACCATCTTTGTGAAGAAGTCGGCGTTCCTGTGGATGAGCTTGCTGCTCATGGCGGTAGCAGCAAGCTTCTGGAGTGTATCCCGTTGGTTGCCCTCGGCTGTGTCCACGGCGATTTCCATGATTTTGTTGACAGCGAGATGTGACGCTCTCCGCAGACCCTTCATGATAATCTGGCTGCTGACTCCCTGCTCAACAAAGTCCTTGATCTCCTTCATAATTTCTCCTGCCAGCACAACGACTGATGTGGTACCATCGCCAACTTCGGCGTCTTGCGATCGTGCAATGTCGGTGAGGACGCGGGCAGCGGGGTGAACGATGTCGAGGAGCTGTATACTGTTAGGTCAGGCTCTAGCATTGGGCTTACATTGCTTGTCTACCTTCATGACTGTGGCACCATCGTTGGTGATTGTTTGCCGGCCATTCTCGTCAACCATGAGCAGGTCACCACCATAGGGACCCAAAGTGCCCTTGATTGTTGCCTGTACAGCAAGACAGGCATTGATGTTTGAAATAACCTGCCCCCGGCCCTGCGATTGATCGGTACCTGCAATTGTTAGCGACACATGTATGAAAAGTTTACAGGCACCCACCCTCCCGCAGCACCACAATAGTGGGTGTCTGGCCGCCAAAAGACATGTTGACGGAAGCGAAAAACACAAAAACTCAAAGGGGATTTGTAGAAGACTTTGCAAGGGGAACAAAGCTGGCGGTAGAATGTGAGGGGTACGGTCAAGCTATGCGCACCTGTATCTTGTTCCCCGCAGACGCGTCCCATGAATTTTCCCAGGGCACGTCTCTTTTTGCCAAGACAACCGGACCGTGCGTAGCCTGGCTTCCACTGCCTACCTCCAGCCTTCTACTGCCCTTCCATGCATTGTACCACAATTACGCCGTCACCTGTCTCCAAGGCCCCCGCTACCGTGTTGTATCGTCGTTACAGTGTACGCACTCTTGCTGCCCTGATCCATAGTGACATTATCAACGGCCCCTCGTGACCTCGTGACCGCTATTTCGATTGATGAGTGCGATCTGAACTGCCTTTGTCTCCCCTGCTCCTGGGAGCATTGTTTGTGAGCATCAGTAGTACCAATATGCCATCCAAGACATCTGCCAAAAAGGTCTGATCGTGTTGTAGATGCACATTTTAGTCGTACTAACGCGGTGTACAGATGGCGCCTACACCGACATCCACAGACGATATCCGCCTACGGCGCATGGCACGTCCTTCAAAAGAGTCTGTAGAAAAGCAATTATCTATACCAGAGACCATTTCGCCTTTGGATAACTATCCTCCATTGCTCCGCATTCCATCCGAAATCCGGAGAGAGATTTTCAGATATGTCTTGCCATCGTCAAACAAACGTTTCATCTTGTACACCGATTGCGACTCGAGGTCCATAAGCCGGAAATGGAATAAGATCTGCCGTCCCCATCCCGACCCACACCTGACTCTCGACGTCTTACGAACAAACCGACTTATTTACCACGAATGCCTCTCAGTACTCTATTCCGAGAACCAATTCCATTTTTATGCATTCAACTATTTGCCTGTTTTGGACTTTATACGCCATCTGAGTCCCGAGGCAAAGAACCAGGTGCGCAACGTGCGACTCACACCTTTGACGGATAAGCAAGATGACCCACCGGCATCACACGATGTCTTCTGTACTGTCATACACGATTCATTACCCGGGCTCAGCCAACTTCAAGCCGACCCGGTGGTCTTCTTCTAGGAGACTGGCTACTGTTCGTTCTTCAGGCCACACTTCTTCTTCTCTTCCTCTATCCGAGTATATAGACGGGCAGATGCGCATCAGTGTTGGGTACACGTGTAGCGCATCTACGAACTTGCCCACGAATTGATCTTTACATGGCGATTATCTTCGCCTCCAAAATTTGTGCGTCATTTACCACATGTTATGCCCAATTGTCTCAAACTTTCCGATGTTCAATTCCTGCATATTAGGAAACATGGCTTATGGTTTGTAATAATGCAGTTACGAGGGTACTATGACACAACAGCTAGTTAGTGATATTTTGTATTAGTCATCGCTTTCATGATGCTGTGTGGCAGACAATTCGGTTTGTTGAACACCTGTAGTAAGCGGGCCGATAGTAAAGTACTTGCGCCACTATCAACCCTATCTTCCGATCCGCATTCATCATCAACCAGCCTCAGGATTTGTGTGGCGATCCGAATGAGGTGCCAAGTTCTGATATCCTGTAGCTGCGCATATCGCATGCGTCTCAGCATGGGAACCTTTATTATTAATACTGAACAATCGGTGTTCGACACCGCTTCGGAGTACTCGGCCTGCATATCTTATTCCGACACCGGTCCCAGACCATGAGAACGTATTGGCTTTCCACGCTGACATACCGGTCACATCAACGTCACCCCGCTTCTTGAGTACGGGAACAAATTACTCTTTCGGTACTAAGCTCAGCCAGTCCACTAGCTATCTTGCAAAGAGCGTGATTGCAAGTTCCGACGAAGCTCATTGTAGAAATCTACTTAATGCAACAATATTGGGAAGATTTGTAATATGCCACTGGATAGTATTTAGAGGACTCTTCTTCCTGACAAAAGCTTTTTGTATCACAACTTCTAACACACTAGACTAACACGCCTTAATATGGCCACAAGATCCGAAACGGCATCTGTGCCTCCAGCTGCGACCGCGGATGACTCGTCTGGGATAGAGCTCGAGCCAAGTTCACGATGGAACGAATTGTCAGGAAACGAGCATGTGCTGCCACAAGCTGATGGTGGTAAAGACGCTTGGCTGTTCTTAGCAGCGGCATTTGCAATCGAAATTATGGTCTGGGGTAAGTTATCTTGAAGACAAGGATACCACCGTCTGTCGTGCACTGGTAGTCATAGTTTAACATGGAATCTCAGTAACACTATCTAGGCTTTCCCTGGTCATATGGCATCTTTCAAGAATACTATAGCACATCTAAAAACTTCTCTGGTGCTTCCGGTATCCCGGCTGTCGGCACTTCCGCGATGGGTATCCTTTACATGTCTTTGCCCTTCACCTTTGGATCCTTGATACGGTGGCCACACTACAAGAGAATAATAATGATTTGTGGACTATTTCTCATGTGCATCTCACTCGGATTAAGCTCATTGTGCACCACCATACCGCAACTCATCGTCACCCAAGGCATCCTTTACGGTATCGGCGGAGCAGTAGCATACAGCCCCACCATTACCTTTCTCGACGAATGGTTCGTAAGGAGGAAAGGCCTGGCATTCGGTATAATGTGGTCCGGTACAGGACTGGGGGGCGTAGTTGTTCCTCTGCTATTACAATGGCTCCTAAATCGATACGGCTTTCGGACTGCACTACGTGTATGGGCAATTGCGCTCTTTACAATTACCCTTCCTTTGACATACTTCCTCAAACCGCGTCTCCCTGTTCCCACAAACAGCCGCACAAAGATCACCCTTACGTTCTTGTCAAGCAAGTCCTTCTGGATCCTTCAGTCTGGCAACGTTATGCAAGCTCTCGGCTTCTTCATACCTTCCATCTACCTACCGACTTACACCAAGGCTCTGGGATTCGACAATACCGTGTCTACAGTACCTGTCATTCTTATCAATGTCGCTGCTGTTATCGGTTCAATCACTATGGGAACAATTGTAGATCGCACACATGTCACAACCGCCATTCTCATCTCCACTGTCGGTGCCGTCGTATCTGTATTCCTGATTTGGGGGTTTAGCACTTCGTTGCCGCCTTTACTCATCTTCTGCTTCATGTATGGACTGTTTGCGGGGAGTTTCACCAATACTTGGCCGGGAATCATGAGGACTGTGCAGCAAAATACTGGACAAATGGAAAGCTCCATGGTGTTTTCATTCCTGTCGCTAGGGCGAGGTATCGGGAATATGGTCAGCGGCCCAGTTAGTGAGGCGTTGATGAAAGTAGGCAACGTTGGTGGGTTTGGCCTGTATGGGACACAGTATGGAAGTCTGGTCATTTGGACTGGGATCAGTGCTACCCTCGGTGGGGTGAGCATCATTGGGCGAAGGATTAGATAGTTGTGAAGAGCGTCATGCTTGTTCGAACAACTGACTTTATGTAGCGGGAGCGAGTTGAACTTTTGGAGGCATGGACATTACAGTGATGATGTTTTGACTTTATGTTTTTCGTTAGTAGTAGTGTCCATAAGCTGATACATTGTCTGTTATCAAAATTATCGTAGGTATCATTTCTAAGCTATGGAACGACATCTGATTTTGCGACCTTTTGGAACATGTGATGAAAGCTCGAGGGTTGAAAAGACTAGCAAAAAGGCAGTCAAGGAAGCGGGTTGTCAGTATCGTAAACGTAAATCAAGGGTGGGCGAACAGCCGAAGAGGATTGATGAAACAACATACACGAATATACATACGAACACATACAGTGTACAAGGTTTTGTCTGGGAGCCTGGGTGGAGCAACAACATTCACTGTCAAAATCGCGGTGTGGTCATCCATGACTTCTAGTTTATCGGAGAGACAGCTTCACAGCATAATTTTGGCTGGTTACTCGCCACAACAGGCATAATTCAATGCTACGCGCGATATCTGTCGTGTATGAAGGGGCTGTATGGAGAAGGTAGACTTCTACGCGCGTGGAGCTCAACTATGGGTCCTTCACATACCAGAGGACGTGCCTGGTCTTCCGTATGATCCTGGAAAACGCGCATGTAAGAGTGAAAGGGCTGGTCTAAATTTAGTCACCGCAAAACAAGCTTTCTCGGTATGACCAACAGAACGTCACTACCAAGGACTGCGATCAGTCCGGGGTCAAATTTTAGGAACCCTATATTGACTCTCTTCATTGTAGGGATCTGGATAAGGGCGGAATGATATATTAAGCCTTTCCAGCAACAGAGTCGTTGGTGGCAGAAAGTCAAAGTAACGGTCTCGTCATAGTTCCTATTTTCTGACCGATAGTACTTAAGGAAGAGATGGCCCGTTTATCATGACACGAGATGGAAAAGCAACCCTAAAATATTCGCGGGAGGTGGCCACGAATGTTGTCGACTGCGACCAAGTTGCCTGGCATGATAATCCACGTTGCATAAAAGTACTACACCTAACAAACATACTCTCAAGACTGGTTAGCTTCGATTACTATACCGTTTCCTGTTGAGCGAGGCACGCAGGGGCGAAACGTACGGAAGTAGCTTGCGCGGTACTTACCTGTGCCGGAAACTAGGTATAGCTCAATACATGTCAGCTACGTAGATAAATCTCGGCATCGGCAGGTACCACCAAATGCAACCTTACGTGAGGCTACCGGGAGTACAAGACTTTGCCGTGCAAACGCCGAGAATAAATGATTGCTTATTCCACTTGTCATGGGAGGGTATGGGAAGCAGAATCTATAAGAAGAGCAGTCCATCGTCCTCCGAGAAAGTCACCACACTGCAGCATCTCCGACCATCTAATCATCGAAGTCCGGCCAGGTTCAATACTTTCGTTCGCCAAACCCAAACTATCAACATGAAGCTCATTACTGTCACTCTCTCTGCCGGCCTTGCCTCTGCCTAGCAAGTCATCACCCTCTTCAATGCTCTTTATAGCGTGATCAACGACCAAGCATTGTACCAAATCAGCATCGACCAACCCACCGTCGTCAGCTGCGCTGCCAAAGAATGGGCCATCGGCGACTGGTTCCCCTGCTCCGACGCGTCCTGGTCTCTCCAGATTAACGACAAGCAGGGGGTTTCTATCAAGATCAACCACATCGTAGACGGGTAAGATACTCCCCCTCAGCCCAACTCTCACAGCTTGCTTTGTGTAGTGACTCTGGTCTTTGTCTAGTGTAACATACTGCGGCGATGCTACCATTCAGTTCACTGGCGCCATTCCTGTTTACCAAATCCAGGATGGCAACATTACTGTTACTCTCGAGCCAGTCGACTAAGGGAATTTTTTTCTTTGGGGAAGAAAATTTAGATGGAGATGCGGTTTCCATGCACAAAATGATGCATCGATAGTGCATAGCCAAGGGACCATGAAACATGTATTGTGTATAACATAACAAGAATGAAGAAACCATGTAGAACATGATATCGACTTCATGTGTTCGTGATGACCAGAATCTTGGTGGACTCTGCCTTGAAATCTTAACATATGCGTGTGTGCGGTGAAGTTGCCTTATATTCTAAGTACAATGCTGGATAGACTATTTCATTTCATGAGCCTACTTACTGGAATGAAAGATCTCTTTACCGTAAATTTGACACATACATTATACTGATAGTATTTAAGTTGGAAGAAAGCTTATTATAATACATTGAGTCTCAACCATCCGACCACAACACGCACTACGCAGAATGACATAAAGAATGCACCGTCATTCTACGACAAACCCTCGAAACTGAAACTAGCAGACACGTGAGAGGAGTGGACAAGTACACTTAGACCTTCTAAACAAGAAGTATCAGTATCATTCGAATTCGATTCCTTGAAAACGACCATTAACACGATGGGTGGACAATCTAGCCAATCATTCCATTCTAATCATCCACCATTCAGCACCGCGACTTCATGTCGTGAGAACTAGAAACCTCCCCGTGGTCGTTTACTTTTCAATTGGCAAGTTGAGTTGACCCTTACTGGTATTGCATGCCAGATGGGTAAGGTACTATGGATGTGATGTTTCCTAGCCAGAGAGGTGCTGTCGTGGAAAATCTTTGAAAATTTCTTACGTACATGTCCGTCCATGCCTGGGATTACCAAGAAATATGTCGATATTGAATTGATGGTGGCCAGAATCTGCAAATAAAAGTGCATCGACAGCGAGAGTTATGAAACTGCGCGGCAAATGATCTGGCGGCTCCAAGTATAAAGTCTTCCGCATTCTCATTCATATATCCATCCCTTTTAGGCCTTTCGTTTACGGAGCCCTTCTCTTCTCGGCCCCCGGTCGGTGCTTGGTTTTTTCACCCGATCACTTTTGCCGGGCGTAGTTTTCCGATTCGCTTTGGCTGTGGTGCTACTACCTGGGCGACGGCCAGTGGCGAGTGTTTGGACTACAGCATCTATTCGTTTTGACCGCCCCGTCTGCGTCCCTGTCTCTATTCTTAACAGGGTTGGGAATTGCTCGCTCTTGCTCATGCTCTCCCAAACTGTTTTAGCAGCTGGCACCTTTGCGAGCGCAATCTTGAAACCCTCAGGTACCACAATTGTGGCGGGGCCTGCATATGCGCGGTCCCATCTCCCGTCGGCCTTTGCAGCATCGACCGCAGCCAGCCCTGCAGGTCGCATGCGGCCCTCTTCGATGAGGCGCGCTACCGTGCCTACATTCTTCTTGGACCAGATACTCTTTGCGCGACGAGGTGTATAGCGAATCTTCCACCAAGTATCGTCGATGGAGTTTGCACGGCCATCGATCCAGCCATAGCATAGCGCAACCTCGACAGCTTCAGCTGCGGTAATAGAGGGTATGCCAGAGCTCTTTTTGGCAAGTTTTACGAAAATGCCTGAAGCGGTCGTATGCTCGCGGTCGAGAAATACATTGAAGTCAGCTGATGTAGCGAAGGCCTGTGTAGGGAATTCAGAGTCTTGGGATTGAGTGGTCATGGCTGTGAGAGGGTGCGCGTAGATGTGGAGGTGCACCAAGGGAGCGCATGCAAGCCGTCGCTGTTTGCAGGTCAGGGTTATTGGAGGAATCACAAAGTTCACTCTTTTTGGTAGTAGAAACATGCACAACTTTGTGTTGGAAAACCAAATAGGTGTGAGTGCGGAGACATTGTTTTAAAGGAGGCCAAGGTTGCGGTGGAAGAAGGTGTCGGGCGCCGTATCACGTGAACGCGTTACTAACATGTGAACATCATCCTACAAGGACCCCCGATAGATAGCCACGGTTTGGAGAGAGACACCATTGTGTCAGTTTCCACCAACTCTAATACATCAGTCTCACAATAAAAAAATACAAGTCTGCTCCTTTCCTAGTTTTGAGAATTAGATCGGATGTGTCCAAAATCATATTGTTCACGCCAGTAACTTTGCTGAAGCGAGACTGAGCTTCCCAACTACCTCGTTCCAAGTATACAACTAGACAACACACGCTATCACTAGTTTTTTTTGGAGCCGTCATGGCTTGCAAAACAGGGCTGAAGAGTTGTTCACCTTTCGTGTGTATTGCTCACACTCTTGCCGAAGACACGATATTCACTCCTGGGCACTTGGGCACACAAAGGCGAGGAATGGAGTTCAACCCACAAAAACGAAGGAGAGACATAGGTGTCGTGAAGCTGCCATGCTCGTCCATGGAGAGTCGGATCGAGGCATACGCATGACCAAAGATAGATTTAGCTCTATTTCGAAGAGCAAATACCTAAACGCCGGTCGCTATGCAAGTGGCCTGTTTGAGATGTCCCAGGAGGTTGACCATATCAGACAATGAAGTCTTTTTCGTCTTTCCTTGGCCCCAAACCTCTCTTTACACCATCTTTCAATAGGTCCCAATTCACACCATCCAATCTCCGTCCACGAGTAGCTACATCAGAAGCGACATCTGCCAGCTTGCCTGTAGAGATTCTGCGCATCATCACTAAATCTTGGGCGTTCGGAAATGTCCGCCCCCTGCCCTCAGTGAGAAATCTCTCAATGAACTCCTCTTCTTCCTCACTAAAAGGCAGACTGACCAGCTCGTAGGCCTTGGCGTCTCGTGTGTACACATCATGTTCTGAACGATCTGCCCACGCATTGTGGTCCAGCGTCTCCTCGATAAGGATCTCGAGAAGTGGCTTCTGCTCGAATTCGGGTCTGTTGTGGATCCAATCGTACATATCGGTGACATTACGACCAGCAAGATACTTTGCAAATTCGACTCGTGTCTTTTCATCCTCCAGCGGTGGCTTGACACAGTTGTAATATGCAAGTGCCAGTACGTCGTCTTTGGGACCACCTCCCATACCCAGACTGCTCAACTTATCTCCCCCAGTTAACAGAGTGTGCATAATCTCGTCTGGAAATGTCGGTATTATGCTCGGATGCGTCAAGTGCCCAACCGCGGTTGAGAACTGGAGGTGATCGAGAAACCACAGCCCTTCAACAAACGTCCAGAACCGTTTTTCGAGATGCACTTCCTTAGCGAATGCTTCAGAAAGTTCTGTTGTGTCATGATGTTGCGGCGACAAGTCTTTGAGCAAATAGAAGACGAGGCAATGTTTGTTATGTAGTGTTGTCTCGGCGGAGACGATGCGTTGATGGAGATCCTGGAGTTGTTGCGGGGATTTGGGCGGGTACAGCTTGCTTCCTATATTATCTGGTCAGCTTTTACTCAGCGTAAGTTTGTGTCGAGCTTTACCTTTGATCTGGAGGAGGACTAGCAACCGCTCGAAGTATGTGCGCCCGCCAAGGGCAGTTCGATATGACTGAATCTCTTGTACGAGGCCCTCATTGTAGTTGAGGCCACGATAGACAGCGTCAAAATCTTCAACGTCAAGCATTTCTGCGGTTGGGCTAGAGTCCGGGCAGGTTTGCTTCGCGCCGGGGTTGGTGGTGGACGTGTTGTCGTCGGCGCACACAAGGTCCAGGGCACGCGTTGTCACGTGAATGTTGCCTTGGCGTCCAGAGCACGAATACCAGCCAGTGCACACCACTGTATCTTCAGACATCATCTATTCTGATCATGGAATCATTCCATCACTTGGCACACCAAAAAAATTGTAGCACGATATGATACGCGACTTTCAAATCGACACACGCAATGAACGTCGAGGATAGACCGCGACATCGCCAGCGACTGCGTATCGCATGTGATTCGTGTCGAGAGCGCAAAAGAAAATGTGATGGAGGACGACCTTGTAATATGTGCCTCGGTTATGGTTACGACTGCTCCTATCGTTCAACACCGCACGGCCGGCAATCTCAAAGACGCGCAGTCCGGCCCCGGAGCATAGTGGTACAGGAAGCAAGCCCAACACCTGCTGCAGGGACGTCATCATTACACTTAGATGGTCACCAGCCAGTCCAGCCGACCCAGCAACTTCAACAACAAGTCTTAGGGAATCATGAACAGCAAGAATTAGGCAATGACCACCAGCACTCACCCGTATACCTGCGATCGGTCGAGAGCAACTCTGGAGCGGCTTTTGCAAGCCTGCTTACGATGACACTCGAATCATCTGATCAGAGTGCTTCTCCAATACGAATGCTCGCATGGAACTTGTTTCTCGGAGAAAGACAAGGAGCGATGCCGGTACAGCAAGAGGCACTTACAGACATACTATCAGAACTAGAGATGCGGCATCTAGCTAGCATCTACTTTGAAAAGTTTCACCCATGTTATAGCTTCATTGACAAGGACATGCTGCTCCAGAGTATATCCAACAATTGGAGCCAGCAAAAACCACACAATGCGCTGGAAGCCCTTTTGAGTGGTGTCGGCGCCCTCGCACTTCTGTTTTCGAACACTCAAGACGTGGAAACTGAATCGAGACTCGCTTCACTTGCTAAACGTCTGCTGGACCCATCATGTGCTGATCCTCCATCACTATATAGTGCTACTGCGTGGGTGCTTCGCACTGCATACTTACGGGTTACAGCAAAGCCAGAAGAGGCATGGTTAGCAAGCTGTAGCGCTCTCCACATCATTGATGCTGCAGGACTGATGAACCGTACTAGCAGGAGTAGTGCCTTCATCACATCTCAAGACCCAGTCAGTATCCATCTTCGGAAAAGGGTGATTGGTGTAGCACAACACCTGAACATATGGATGTCATATGACCTAGGTCGGAGTCGTGTGTCTCTGCCTAACTCTGACAATACCCCACCGAGTCCGCAAGCTGGAGAATACACAGTGGAGTTGCTGGATCTCCTGCCATACTCACAGGATCTGGACCCAACTAACGAACTAAGTGTGGACCAGCTTGTTAAAGCATTGGTGAACGTCTTGGAGCGAACACATACCGAACCACCATCTGTGCTGGCACAGTGCAACTTGATGCTATGCATCCATCGTAGGCTTCATGCCTCGAAGCTCGAGATATCCGAGAACCTCATGGCCAAGGTTCTTGGTTTGATTCAAAAAAGTATCCAGGCCGTTCGATCCAATATTGCAGCACACCTTCCTTGGCACCACGTAGCCAACATCCCGTTTCAGGCAGTGTGCACACTTCTCGTTATCGATACAGCACAGTCTTTTGCACTCTTGTCTGAAGCTTTGGCTTGCGTCATCGCCGTGAATGAAGCATATCCAACTGAAGCGACGCGAGAAGCTTCTGTTACTGCATGTACCCTGCTCCGGCTGCACCGAAGGCGAAGGGAAGCAGAGATCAAGAAGCATTCTGACATGCTGGGCCTATACCCTTCTGTAGATTTTGTCTTGCAGGAGAACCATGGCGATCCTCTGAGCAGCGACTCTCTGCAAGAATTTTCTTGGTTCAATGAGTTTTTAGCTAATTCGGATCTAGCATCAGGTCTTGATCCGTTCATATAAGCACTATAGCGATCGTGAACTCAAAAAAGTACGGTTCAGAGATTCTATATCACATTTCTAAATCTTAGCGGACCGATTCAAGGTTAGTTTCTCGTTCAACACCAAGAATTATGCTCATTCGATCCGCGGCGGAAATAGTCTTTGTGCGGTTCCCGCCAACTATCCTCCATATCCGCAATACCCGCTTTGCCTTACGATCCACAACTGTGAAATCCAACATGCAGGGGAGCATGTGCAGGGATGTCACTGTAATATTTCTACAAGCTTATCTTACAGACTCTCCTATCAAAAACGCCTAGCTCCATTATGAAATTTGCAATGTTTCCTGAATGGATATCCTATTGGTATCTGCTCCATGTACAGTCCTACCTTCGATTAACACTTGATTGGGAATTTTGCCAATACCACGTATTAATCCATCACCAAATAGACTTTGTTCAAATCTCCTTGAAACTGAAGAGAATCTGTTTGATAAAAATAAAAAAAGGCGGAATAAGATATACAAAGTGCGGCTATTGCGGGCAGTGCGGAACTACCAGTGATGAGAAAACCGTACTTTTGTCCTCACTCTTGCCTGAACATCACTTTGCATACATAGTTTGGAAGAATAAAGGGATTAAAGAACCCTCTTGTCTCGTCTGCTATCACACTCCAAACAAAAAAACAATAGCTTCACTTCTCGATCAAGGACAACCACCGCTCGCAGAGATGCATCAACATCCCAGCATGACACCCTGCGACCCCAACGAGATATATCACGCCCGCAACGAGGAAAAGCCACAAGCGGAACAAGAGATTTCGGGTGGTGCACAGATTCCGAATCATGCAGTCACATTCGACTCGCCGCACGATGACCAGAACCCACAGGACTGGGCGTCATGGAAAAAGTTACGTATCCGCACCCAATCAGCCTGTAGTCAGAAGATCAAAGGACAAGAAAATAGAAAAGAAAAACCCCAAAGAATACCGGAAATATTTCAGCTAACAAGATGGCCAGCTGAACAGACTCGTCATCTCCACAACCGCATGCACGGGAACCTTGATCGCAAGTTTCAACAGCGCAATTTACAACGCAGCTGCCGCATCCAGCAGCACTGAGTTCAATGTGGGAAATAGAGTCACAGCACTAGGAACCAGCCTCTTTGTACTAGGCTTCGCATCAGGCCCCGTGATCTGGGCTCCAGGGTCTGAGATGCTTGGGCGTCGCTGGCCACTTGTACTCGGCGTGTTCGGATCCTGCGTGTTTACGTTTGGAAGCGGCATGGCAGAGAATGTGCAGACGCTCATTGTGTGCCGGTTCTTTGCGGGCTTGTTTGGTGCAAGCCCTCTGTGCGTTGTTCCTGCTGTGCTGGCAGATTTGTATAACAACACGTATCGGGGTGTGGCGATATCGATGTATGCGCTGACGGTGTTTGGGGGTCCGTTTCTTGCACCCATCGTTGGCGATTTCATCGTTGCAAGTCACTTAGGGTGGCGCTGGACGCTATATCTTCCTGCTATTCTGGGGCTTGCAAATTCCTTGTTCCTATTGCTATTGTTCCGAGAGACTTTTGCCCCATTGGTACTGGTGCAGAAGGCGCAGCTATTGCGGTGGCAGACTGGTGACTGGAAGATATATGCTGAACAAGAGAGACTGAAGCTAGATGTCCACGCCGTGGTGAAAAAATACCTTACTCGGCCGCTTTGCATGCTAGCGACAGAGCCCATCATCCTCTTGGTATCCACGTATATGTCGTTCATATATGGATTGGTTTATGCGCTTCTAGGGGCATATCCATATGTATTTCAGCATGTCCATGGGATGCAGACCGGAGTACGAACTTTGCCATTTCTCGGATTACTCATGGGTGTGGTTTTAGCTCTTATCTTTATCCTTGGTCAACACAGGTCGTATTGTCGCAAGCTGGAGGCAAACAATGGAAAGACAATACCAGAGTGGCGGCTTGGACCTGCTATCCTGGGAGCTGTTGTGTTCACCGTTGGTCTATTCTCGTAAGTCTTGTGCGTAACCGTTGACATGAAAAAAAGGCTGATGGTTCTGCTCCAGGTTTGCTTGGACAGGCTTTACGAATGCTGTCCATTGGATGGCGCCAACTGCAGCCGGGGTATTTATTGGGTTTGGAGTGCTCTGCATCTTTTTGCCTTGCTTCAATTATCTCGTTGATGCTTTTCTGCCTCTGTAAGTAATGTTCCAGTCCTCGAGCGCGCCCTTGCCAATCACGTTGGCTAATATGTCAACTCAAACTAGAGCAGCTTCCGCAGTTGCAGCCAACATTATGCTCCGTTCAGCTGTTGCAGCTGGTTTCCCTTTGTTCTCTACTCAGATGTTTGAAAATCTCGGAATCCAGTGGGCAGGGATGCTTCTCGCCTGTCTCGCCACGATCATGATACCAATCCCGATAGTTTTCCGAGCATATGGACCGACCTTGAGAGCAAAGAGCAAGATCCTGGTGGAAGCCGCTAGTGAAGTGATGGTATGAAAATCAAAAAGCTAAAGGAACAGTATATCCGACAAGCGGATGATATGTTCGCCGCGACGTAAAGGGGAAGAATGCACTAAGAGGCTTTACACGATGAGGGAGATGCAAAAGTTCGAAAGCGAAGAATATGCATACAACAATAAAATACGACATTGTATCCATGCGTCGGAAGAATGAGGAAAGCTCCACAGAAATACGAGTTGAATCTTGAGATTGTCCTGCAGCATCTTTGGCTCAAGAAGATTGCAAAACTAGTCGCGATCGATCGAATGGGCATAATATCTGACATTGCTTGGTGTTGCAGGATTTTGAATCCGCTATCCGATTTTCGTCCGTTAGTGATGAGCAGCCCAGACTCATAAACAAAACAAATATTTGCTCACCGTCTACGCGGAGCATGTGGAGGCCAGACCCCAGCACATAGCGGTCAGATGTGCATGACGTAATGGCATGGATTAATGTGAGCCTCGCATGTGTCATCTGTTGGGAGAAGCGTATAATCCTTACAGATGTTGGTTGCAAAACTAAGCACTTTCATAAAAGTCGCAAAGCAGATGGCATGATATGGACGAGGAGGGGAGCGCGGGGATTCGTGACATTACGGAGGGTTGGCAAAGGAACTCGGATGTCCGTAATTGCCGGTCCCGAAAGACGAGGGTGCTTAGGCCATACTACTATGTAGTACATACATGTGCGAAGAGAGGTTGAGGACTAGGCGTCGGCTATCATGGAGACTGGAGGTCAGACAATGTCCGGATTGTGGACAAAGTAGGTAAAGTCGATATGCGAGTATTTCAGGTGGAGTCTGGCACCACCTCACTTCACATATTGCACATGTCGCATCGAGCGATCGGTAGCCGTCTGCGCTACAACCACTAACCAACACGGCGAGCACTAGGCAGCAAAACGCAGGCCCATTCGTTCTGCTCTGATGAGTCAAAGCCAAGCTGCAGGGCTGAGGGGCTGAGTGGCTGAGTGGATGGATGGATGGATGGATGGATAGGGTGGCTGCTCACGCTTGGTGTCTGATATTAGTAATGCCTATGTCGACCAAAGCATGCAACCGTCAACCGCGTGGACAAGATGGCCAAAAGCCAGAACCCTAGCTCTACACCTACTACCAAAACAGGTCTGGGTTGTGTATATAGACCATGGACTATATATGGTAGAAACCGATGACATTTACATCTGGGTGCAAGTCGGCTAAGTTACATCACGGTGAGCTTCAGCGTCCGTCAGGGCGGAAGCGGGCGGATGGCGACAACTCCACGAGCACCGAAGCCAGCGCGTATGTACAGTGCCTGGTCGCCTGACCGCGCCTTGCCAAGTGCGAGCAAAGCTTATGAGGAATAGAGGTGTGACACGTGATGCTAATCCATGCCAGCACCAATGGTTTCTTGAACGCCTGAGGCTCGGACAAAGTCTGGAGTTAGTAGATGGTGATTTGAAATTTACACACCACCGCGGGTACTAAGAGAAAAAAATTAGTAGCCATGATCTCACAGGTGGTCCAGGCGGATAAAACGTATTAGCTTCCGACGTACCCTGCACGGGCCGAGCATCACGGTACTGCACATGTGTAGTGTACATAGATGAACATCCGATGCAAAGAATGCCAGGCAAAGAGCGGATGATCGATACGGATGGTGAGAGGGACCCAAGCCAACCCAAGTGGCTGGACCACCCTTCTGACCTGCCTGTTGTCGCAGCCACGCCATGGCATGATGCACCAAGTGCTGGTGCAGCAAAGGATAGCGCTGCGTCTTAGGACTCGCCATTTGAGCGTCTGGCAGGGCAAAGACTCGGCCGTAGGATTGGATTGGGTGGCGTACAGCATAAAGAGAAGGGCCCTTGGCCTTACATAGTCGTTAGCGGTGGCTGATGGCTGATGAGCGATGGGACGGTGGTGGGAGGCGGGTGGGGAGCACGGCTGGTCTGTGCGTGTCCAGACCCACCTTGGGCAAGACAACTGCACTCGGCCATGTGGACGTCACAACTGGCAAAAGACGCGATGCAATGCGATCGGAATATTCTCGACGCTGACAAACTTACGTAGCCATGACCTGCTCCAATTCGCAGTTCCGCAACTTCCGGCCCAAATAGTATACATACATGCAAGGCGTACCCCTTCCAGTGGTGCTAGCCAGTTGGCCGCACACCAGTACTTGATACTACCTTTTCCGTTTGCTTTTTCCCTTGGATTCACCTTGCATCCTCTTGCTTCTTTGGCTGCGCATGCCTACGGGCTACAATCTCGCTGTATAACCGAATCGCATAGTTTCCACTATTCCTTTCCACTCGCGCTTTCGCAGCGGATTCTTCTCAAGAGTACACCATTCCTACTGAATACACTCATCATGAGGGGCCGCGGGGTCATCGCGATAGCTACTGCGGCATTGCTACTAGAGCTTGTGCCGCTGGCAGTCGCCCATGGTGTCGACAAAGCAATGGATATGAATGCGCATGATATGCCCAAAGCGCAACCTCAACAAGCCGGCTTCGGAGGCTACTGGAGTCTTTCTGAACATGCTTCGCTCATGTATTGGCACATTGGGCTCGAAGTGTTGGCCTGGGTCGTCGTCTTGCCAATAGCCGTCATGTTCAGTATCGCGCATTCGCGCTTTACTCTGCCATCGCAATTAATCTTCCTTGCTACCAATGCACTTGCGCTTGTGCTTGGCCTCGTCTACAACCACAAGACACCAGAAATGTATGCAGGAAACGCGCACAGCAAGGCGGGATGGGCCATTATGTGGATTGCTTCGGCATGGGTGTTTTTGGCTCTGGTCCAGGTCTATGCTGGCATGCACAACAAGGAGTCGGCCGAGGATCAATTCAAACACTCCATAACGGCTGCAAATATGCTCAGATACCAGCGTGTGCAGGACGAGGAGCTCTCGGATTCATCAAGATGGTCGGGCGATTCTGGCCAAGGTACCGAACGAAACTCGGCTTCGCTATACGACCCATCCCCATCACCCAGCGTCGAGTCCGAAGTCCAGCAGTTTATCGGCCAAACCCACAATGATGCGCATGGCGACGACTCTGGTGAAAATGATAATGAAAAACACGGTCTCCTACACGACACGCCCGTAGACCGCTTCTTGGCTCGCAATGTGGCCCGCTTTGCTGTAGGCCGTACACTGAAAGCGATCCGATTCTTCTATGTCCTGGTTGAGCGTACCATCTTGATCCAAGGTTTCGTGGCGATTGTCAGTGGTGCTGTCGTTTATGGAGGCATCGGACGAGGAGGTGCCGTCTTCAACGTTCTTGCGCACACGGTCAAAGGAGGAATCTTCTTCGTGTACGGTTTCCTCACACTTGGCCGGTGGATGGGCGCATTCGCAGACTTTGGATGGGCGTGGAACGTCAAGCCGCCCAAGGAGGTTGTTGGTCGTTGGCGAGCCGTGCTACCGTCGGCGGAGTTTACCGAATCCTTCGTCATCTTTCTCTACGGTTGTACCAATGTTTTCCTCGAGCATCTGGCTGCGTGGGGCGACGCATGGACTGCGCAGGATTTAGAGCACGTCTCCATCTCGGTCATGTTCTTTGGTGGTGGTTTGGTAAGTGGCTTGCCACGGCTCCTTCACTCTAGCGCGGCATTAGCTAATCTCCTTCCTAGTTGGGAATGTGCATCGAGTCGAGCAAGATGCGCGATCTCCTCAACAGCGGCGTTGCGGCCTCGCAGGCTGCCTCTGTAGAGCACGAGGCATGGCAGCAGCCACGCCAGTACCGCTTCTCTATGAACCCTCTGCCGGCATTGATCATCATGCTGCTCGGCAAGATGATGAGCTCTCACCACCAGGACTCGATGATTTCGACCATGATACACAGCCAATGGGGGTCCATGTTTATGGGCTTCGCACTTGCACGTACGCTCACCTACATCACTCTGTACATTTCGCCGCCAACATCTTTCCTTCCATCCCGGCCACCAACCGAGATTGTGACTGCATTCTGTCTCATCTCAGGCGGCATCACTTTTATGGTCAGCAACAAGGATACCGTTGCAGCTCTCGAATCATACAACCTGGATGCCATGTTCATCTTCACAATCGTCATGGGACTGACCGCGCTTCTCATGGCTTGGACCACAGTTGTCATAGCCATCAAGGGCTGGGCCCTGCGCAAGGAGAGCAGCAGTCAATGGTCCAAGGGCCATACTGGTGCCTTGGCTTGATTGCTTGCTTGCTAGCCAGCTAGTATCAGCCTCGAGCACGCTGGCTTACTCTGATAGACACGCATCTTGGAAGCTGTACTTTTCTTTTGATACCCCACTTGTTCCCTTGTTCACGACCCGGATGTTTCTTTTTTTGGTTTCATGATATTGCTGCAGTATACTCCCTTCGCCCAAGGATGGCGACAGCCTGAACAGCTGCAATCAAACCCTTGTTTGTTGCAATGATGGCAGTGGTAATGGGAAGGCCGTGGAGGGACGGGTTCCTTCGGCAGCAAGTGGTTCATAATGATCATCAATATTGGATAACTGACACATGTTCTTGGTACTGATGACGGCGAGTGCTCTGGGAGGCACATGGGGTAGAGTAATTACGAACAATTAAGCTTGGTTTATCTCATCGATTTTCATGGACTGTGTAGTACTCATCTGGGTATCAAATGTAAAGCCGTCAAATTGCAAGAACCTTGCACGTTCTTTACCGAACTCCTCGCCCCCGCCCGGCAATGCCTCTTGCGATGGCTGTACCGCCTCTTGTGCCCCTTGTGGTGCCGCCGCGGGTAGGGATACCGCCGCGCCCGCCAGCGCGTGGTATGCCTCCCCTGCCTCTTGGTAGGCCTGATGTTTTGGCTGCCGGCGTAGGCGTTTGAGGCTTGAATGGAGTCTTGCTGTTTGGAGGGTTGTCAACGAAGGATGTGTCGGTGGTCAAAAAAGTCGCCTCCATGTCCTCTGGCCCCTGCGAGCGGCTCAAGTTGGCAGCCCCGCCATCGGGCTGGTTCTGTGGCCGCTTGAAGGACTCGTGGATTGGGGCCTGGAGATGGTTGTTAGTAGCCGTGGTACCATGCTTCTGCTTTAAGACGCGGTCTGACGCACCTCTGGGAAATCGACGCAGAAGGCGTTCATGTTCATGCCGTAGAGAAAAGCGGCAAAGCTCTCGGAGAAGCGGGCCAAGCTCTCGTGCATCAATTGCAGCTGCACGAAGTTTTGCTCGAGGTCTGCCATGGCGTCGCTCAGCTCTGCAAAGCCATCCTGGAGGCCTTCTAGCGCATTGTCGGAAGCAGAGGCGGCGCGGCCGCGCTGGGAAGAGTCGCGTAGGGAGGAGCGCGAAGAAGGGCGAAGGGGCGTCGTGGGGCGGGAGCGAGGGGACTTGCTACGGGTGCGCCGGTAGGAGGGGGTTGTTGTGGGTGTTGTGGACGCCATGGAAGGTTGGGTGGTGTCGGTCGTGTTGGTATTGGTTTTGTTGTTCTTGTTGTGGCTGCTGGCTGAGGGGCAGGGCGCTGGAGTACTACTTAATGGCACACGAATGCGAGGGGCTGCTTCTGCTCAGCTCTGGAGGCCAAGGGTGCGCTCATGGAGTGCAGACTGGCTGTATTCACTTGTATACCCACATGCCTATGTGCCTACATATCTCTGTGTGTACAAGATACCCAGGGCCGCCCGCCCCCACGCACTAGGACACATGCATCGATGATGGCATTGCCCGAGTCGATAGTACTGATAATGTGCATTCTCGCCGTATGCCTATCCCATCCCATCCTGTGTATGTACGCACATGCGTACTTCCCTACATATGCCCCTCGCACGCGCAGAGGTCAACCATCTAGCCAGAGACGCTCCTTTCAGGCGGCCCGCCGTCTCGCCTGTCTTCCCCCCGCATTGCTTGTCCGTGTCTGCTCCGCCATAAGGCGCGAGGGCACTGCTGCGCTGCCCGACCCGGCAACACCGCCCGACGTCACCCTAGTGGGCACAAGTCCCGCTCACCTTGAGCCTCAGCAAAGTGACATTCATGTTGCGTCGCGCACAGCCCCAGCGACGACTATTGCAGACCTCTTTCATAAAGCTTCGACCCTCTGCCAATCCTCTCCACCACCACCACGCCCCCTTCTTCGCCTCCTATAGCCCCGCCCGCCCAGTCACACGGGCATATATAACAACACATCATCGCCGGCACTACACGGCACATACACCACACAAGAACAGCGGGTTCGACCTCTGGACAGTAGCAGTAGTCGCAGGTCTCGCCATTGGCGGCGCTCTTCTTGTGCCTTTTGTACCAAGCTCCTCAGGGGCAGAGACCGCAAAAGCCCCTCGCTCGACCCAGTCCGCTGCCTACGACTTTGCAGACTCGTATCTAGTCATGGCGCCAAACACCCCAGCCGGCCGACCGGGCACCCTAACACCCGACCAGGAAAAGAAGCTGCGCGAGCTTTGGAGGATCGTGTTAAAGATTTTTGGCGTCGAGGTGGGGTCGGACGAAACAAACGGGACAGCCGCACCGGCCGACGAGGAAGTGCTGTCGCCTACAGCAGACGGGAAGAAGGACAAAAAGAAGAGCCGTTTGCATGTCTTCAAGAGAGGCAAGGGCGACAAAAATGCAGACGACAAATCGTCGACTGTCTCGGAAGCGTCGACTCCTACTACTACAGACCTAAGCAAATTATCCATATCTGCCGACGATGACAAGTTTGGCCAGACTGCAGAGTTCAAGGCCGCCATAGCAAACATTCCCCCAGAGGAGCTCCGGAAAACCTTTTGGAGCATGGTCAAACATGACCATCCCGATGCGCTCCTCCTTCGCTTCTTGCGCGCCAGGAAATGGGACGTCGAGAAGGCGCTGGTCATGATGATCTCAACAATGCAGTGGAGGCTGAATGAAATGCATGTCGACGACGACATCATGAAGAACGGTGAGCTCGCCGCTCTCGAAACCACGACGGTCGACGCAAAGGAGAAGAAGAATGCAGACGATTTCCTGGCGCAACTGCGCATGGGTAAGAGCTATTTGCACGGGCTGGATGGTGAGGGACGGCCAATGTGCTTTGTTCGCGCAAGATTACACAAGGCTGGGGAGCAGACTGAAGAAAGTCTGGAAAGGTTCACCGTCTACTTGATCGAGACGGCGCGCATGCTGCTGAGGCCGCCGATTGATACAGCTGTATGTTGAAGTGATGATGAGACAGTAAAGTGTTTAGACTGACGCCTACAGACTATCGTTTTCGACATGACCGACTTTTCCATGGCCAACATGGACTACACACCTGTCAAGTTTATGATCAAATGTTTTGAAGCAAACTACCCTGAATCTCTTGGAACGGTCTTGGTCTATCGCGCACCCTGGGTGTTCAACGCAGTCTGGGCTGTGCTCAAGGGATGGTTAGACCCTGTTGTTGCCGGCAAAGTACACTTTGTAAAGAATGTACAAGACTTCAGCACCTTTGTGCCCAAGTCGCAGATTCCGACCGAGTTGGGCGGAGACGAAAAGTGGGAGTACAAATACCCAGAGCCTGTACCTGGTGAGAATGACAAGATGAAGGAGGAAGGACCGAAGCAAGAACTGCAAAAGGAGAGGCAGGACATTGTAAACAAGTACGAGGCTACAATAGTTGAATGGGTTCGTGTAGGTGACGGCGCGTCGCTGGAAGAGAAGAGAAAAGAAAGAGACGTGCTGGCAGAGCAGCTGAGGCAGAACTACTGGAAGTTGGATCCGTATGTTCGAGCGCGTTCACTGTACGACCGCCTGAAAGTGATACAAGACGGAGGCAAACTCGACTTTTACAGCAAGGCGGCCGAGCCTGCTGTCAGCACACCCACTAAAGCTGGCGAGACGAGCGCCGACGACGTTGACTAGGACTTGAAGGCTCTGGTGCTTGGGTGACGGTGGTACTTTGAACTCTCAACACCCAGGCCAACGGTTCGAGGCAGTAGAATAAACGAACCGTTATTTTTCTGCACGCGCACGCAGCCTCTAGATATTCTCATTGCTGGTACCCTAGCTAATGAGGTGGCTCTTGTCTCATGCCCTTTGTTTTGTCGTTACTTTCTTCTTCTCTCCTTTTTTTTTTGCTTTTTGCCCTCCTCGTTCTATCACGCATTGCAACAAAGACAAGGACCAAAAAGAAACGGAAATTAGACGGGCAAAGGCGGGGGAAAACGGACAGAGAGACAGATGCATACACAAGTATACATATGGACTCACATGTACAGCACTCTAGTTATCGTAATAATATTCTCACACTTTTCCTTCTTCACTCTTTCCCAGGTCTGGCTGTTTGGTTGGCGTTTTAACCTTTGCTGCCGTGACTCGAGATAGTTTGATACCTCGCGGCCCCCCCCCCTTTTTTTCGTTCTCGCAAACCGACCTTGTTTTGAGATTGACCTGTCACGTGGTTAATTTCCAATAACAACAACAACAAAACCACCACCACCTTGGCCAGAGGCAGACAGACACGCATACAAGAACAACAAGAGAGGAACACGAGCAGCATGAACAGCGGTGTGTTTGAAACTTGGCTCCATTTGCCCATATTGACCGGTCAAGCGCGGCTGTTGGGGCGCGCGCGTGTTCGTATAAATATCTGTTTGTGTGTGTGTGTGTGTGTGTGTGCGCGCGACTTTGGTATATGCATGCATGTCGAGTACCCAAATAAAAAAAAGAGCGTGGCTAGACCAAAGTGTATTATGCTGTGAACAAGGCCGGCTGAGATCGAAACCCACAGTCTCAATCGGACATTTTTACTCGTCACATGTGGCACCCTGGGGGCTTTTTCCCCAAATGCACCGTGCGGCTAGTCAGCGGGATTACGTCATACCCCTGTCCGTCTTCGCTTTTGCCTTTCTTCTTCCTCGCTTTCTTTTTGCTTCTTAACCTTTTTGAACTCTGTATCACCGTCCTCGGCGCGCCAGCCGCCCAACCCCTTGTTTTACTTTTACCCTTTCCTTTCCCTTTCCCAAATATGCCCACCTCGTGCCTAGTTTTGCCCGTTGGGGTTTTTTTGATTCGTTTATCGCTTGTCAGGAGGGGGGCATGTGGGCACATGGAAATAGATGCATGGGTATGAGTTTACTTAATGGGGCCTGGAGACGCTAGAGCAAACTCCGTCATCTGAGTGGGTCGACGCTACACCAGAAACAAACGTCCCTCCACGCCGACTCGTCTTGAGGGCTCAATATCCTTTTTCAGCATTTTGCTTTGGGTTCTCCTATTTTGCCAACTAATAATACAGTTTGTTCTAATGGAAGAGGAAGGTGTCATGGTTGCAAAGAAGAGTGGACAGGGGGTGCGTAAGGCGTGTCAACGCTAGTAGTGCCATGGCGACAGCGTTGTGCGGTTCTGTTTGAAGGATTTGTTTTCCAACGCAGAGAGCAGGGCTGTTGCAGCGTTGTCTCAATTGAGGTAGCAGGTGCCCATTGTTTTGTGTACACGTTTCTTCTCATGCCCCAAACCACATCTTGCATTGGTCTCTTTGCCCATGGCAACGGTTTCCCTTCTACGAAACGACTTTGATGTCCCGGCCACCCCTTGTTCGGTGGCTTTCATGGCTGCTGACCTCGTCCATTTGCACAGCCATTTCATTTGCGTTGTCGAGTCCGCTCTGGACTGCTTCGGCGACATCCCCTCCGGGAGCGGCTTCGCCCATTCGCAAAGTCGAGGCACCTGACTTGTCGCTGTCGGCGTCTGCTCCGGCTAGCGTGAGTCCCTGTGCGGGACGGTAGGTAATTTTGCCCTCGGCAGCGGCGGCGAGACGTTGCTTTTGGCCAGCCTCTCCGGCCCGACCTAGCACACCGGCGATAACTTGGATGCAGCGCAGACTATGGCAGTGTCAACAGCAGGAACAATGGTTCGTCACAGCACTCTTACCTGTCGTCGTTGGCCGGGATGGGGTAGGTAACCCAAGTGGGGTCGGCATTGGTGTCAATGACGCCAATGGTTGGGATGTTGTTCAGGGCGCATTCGTGGAGCAGGACATAGTTTTCCAATGGGTTCAAGCACACGACAAGATCCGGGCGAAGGGCGGGCCGGTCGTAGAGTTGCTCGTCAAAGCCCTTGACCTCCTCATCCAGCTCGTTGACGACCTTTGTCTTGCACCTGCCGAGGATCTGCTGGCCGTTTGTGATGCTACCAGGGATCCAGCGCTCGAACAAATGATAGCCCTTGGCCAGCTCGGCGGCCCTGGCAACGGCCCTGTCTTGGCCATCACGGGTTCCCACAAACAGTATCATGCCTCCCCGGCGGGCGACTTCCTGGACAACCTTTGCGGATCGACGCAGATGGGCGGCGGTGACTTCAAGCGAGATGATGTGGACGCCCTGCCTGATGCCGTGTATGTAGCGGGCATTTGCGGGGTTCCAGAGCGACGTGACATGACCTTGATGGGCTTCGGAGGCGAGCAGCAGCTCGAGGGTGACGTCGGCAGGCGAGGGCGGGTGGTTGAGCAGCGTGTGTGGGCGGTAGTGCGGGGCAATGTCGGATCCCAGCTTTCCCAGCATCTTGGCTGGAGCATGTTATGTTAGTAGGGTTGCGATGCGGGTATGGTGGAGGTGGGGTATGGCGTACCTTGCTGCTTGTACAGGTGGTACTGCGCGGCCACATGGTCGCGGGGCGGGGACTCGGGGTCAATTGAGCGCAGCGGCTGGTGGAGGTGGGTGTTGAGCTGGGCCTCGAGCGACTGGACCTGCTTCAGGCTGTTGTCGGTCGAAGCCTCGATGGCGGCGATGTCGGTAGAGAGGAAGCGGCGCAACGGGCGGGACTGGCAACGGGCGAGTGCCCAGGAGCCTAGCGATGGACAGTCAGCAGTGGGCAGAGTCGGGACAGGCGTGTATACATACCAGTGCGGGCGGCAATGCTCCTCACAATCATGCTGTGTGCGCGCACGTCGTGCAGTCGCAGGCGTGCCAAAATCTCGCAGCCGGGGGCGGCGCGCCAAGTCCCGTCCCGCGCTAGGCGATTCCAGGAAAGGCGGCAGCCTCAGCCTCAGCCTCAGCACCAGCCTCTCCACTCTGGCGGGATGGGCGACGGGCATGCGAGGCCGCCCAATTGCCCGCCGTGGGCCGCGTCAGAGGGGCTGCGAGGGCACCGCGACCTGCGAGGGGGTCGCCGGTTGAGCGTGCATCGGTCCCACTCGGAAGAACAAGCAGGGCAGCTCATGACAGCAGCAGGCATGGCATTCCCAGAATCCCATGACGGCCGCAGTGTGGTCCCTGCTGCTGCTGCTGGCTGCTGGCTGCTCATGGCCGCTGGCTGCTGGCTGCTGGCTACTGGCTGGCTGCGCTAATGGCGGCCTTGCTTTTGGTCCGTCTGGTGCTGCGACGGGCCCTGTGTGGGTGGTGTAGTATACATGTGTATGTATGTATGTATGTATGTGCGTCTGTGTCTGCGTCTGTGTCCACATCCAGTAGTGTATGTATGCGTGCGAGTGCGCATGCTATTGCTACGGCCGCACCGCCCGTGCTGAGGCCCCCGAGCATTGCGCGCCAAAGCCACTGACATCTTTCCGTGCTCTTCTGCAACTATCCCGCTCCCGGTCCTTCTTGGCCGCTAGCGCATTCGACTCAGCCTGCACATCTCAGCCTGCACATCCAACCTCCACACCCCCCCTCCCACCCCCAGACCTGCCCGACCACATCCCGCGGCCTCTCCAAATGGCCTGCGCCTAGCTGGCCCTCCGCCCTTCGCCCTCGCATGCCACTTGCCTCGCCCTGCTCGTTCCTGTCGCTGCTGCCTGCATCCCCCGCCGCCACGCCTGCTTCTGCCGCTTCCGCTGCTTTCACCCTCCTCTCCCTCGCCGCCGCCGCCGCCACCACTGCCACAACGCACCGCTGGGCCACAGAAGCGATAGCGCACAACACCGCCCACGGGCGCCTGCCGCTCTCTTGGATGCCCACAACCCGGTGCTTGACGCTGTTTCCCGCCGCCCCAGTCTCACGCCCACCCCACTGCCCGCCATGAACGGCTACCCATACCCTCCGCGGCCCTACGGCCAGGCCAACAGCGGGTCCATAATGATGGGGCTCGAGGCCGGTGCCATGAACGGCTTCGACATGTCCGATGGCCAGTCGCTCGACTCAATGGTCACCCAGAACGACAAAGAAAACCGCAGGCGGAGCATGCCGCCCTTCGCGCGAGGCTCACAGCAGATGAACCTGGGAAGCCCTGAGACGCGCCGCCTGAGCATGATGAACTTTGGCGACCCCAATGGCGGAGACATGGAGGATTTTCGTTTCGACATGTCCTCAACCACCATGGACAACCTCATGCACTCCAACACGACCTCGTTCCCACGCTCCACAGCCGCCATGCAGAACGACCAGCTTCCCGCTACTGACCTTAGCATCGGCAACCAGTACCAAGGCCAGGCATCGCCCTTTCCCCAAATGACCGCCCCGAGCTCGGCCTATGCCTCGCCCATGCACCAGAAAACCTCTCTCGACCTAGAAATGTCGTCGTATCAAAATGGCATCAACATGTCGCTCGACATGAACGACTCGCTCAACATGATGCCCTCGGACATGAACATGTTTCCTGGCAACCAGTTCAACTCTCCCCTGCTCGGCTCTCCCCTCAACCAAGACTTTGTCGGTCCCATTCCCACTGCTTCACAGGACAACGCCACTCCCAACAACAATAGCAATGCCAACACCAACACTAACAATGGCAGCAACAATACACCTTCCACACAAGCCCAGGACCATTTTAAACACCCTTCATTAAACAACACACCCGACCCAAAGTCAGGCAGATCTAGTTATCTCAGTCGAGCACTCAGTCAAGACCAGACCAGCATACGTTCCCATTCCAGGCCTCAGAGCGACCGCCACTCGTCCAACAGCGTCCCCACACGCATGACACTGGCTTCCCTGCGCAATCAACAGCCTATAGCACAAGACCCTGCACAGGATTTGCCCAAAGACGTCATCAACAAGCAGTTGCGCGAATCCAACGTTCCCTGGCCGACACCCGCTGGCGGATTTCCCTCAACCATGCACCAGAATCCTCACATGAAGACACAGTTCAAGAACGCGTATTCGTCAACCGGATTTGACATGCTTGCCGTATTGGTACGTTCACCACTCAGCCATTGTACATGGCTAGTCAAAGCTAACCACCGACTAGATGCGAGTTGCCACCAGACCTGACCCCCAGATCGATATCGGCTCCGTTGACCTTTCCTGTGCTTTTGTCGTGTGCGACGCAGAGCTGGACGATATCCCCATCGTATATTGCTCGGAAAACTTTGAAAGACTTACCGGCTACACACGACATATGATTCTTGGGCGAAATTGTCGTTTTCTGCAAGCCCCTGATGGCAAGGTCGAATCCGGCATCAAGCGCAACTACGTCGACGACGACTCAGTTTATTATTTGAAGAATATGATTGAGAATCGTGCAGAGGCACAAATCAGTCTGATCAACTATCGAAGGGGTGGACAGCCCTTTATGAACCTTTTGACCATGATTCCTATCGCTTGGGAGCCCGGTGGCAAGATCAAATTCTTCATTGGTTTCCAGGTCGACCTTGTAGAACAGCCGGGTGCAATGACGAATAAGAACTCGGGTAGGCTTTGCATTTTTATCTTGTAACCCCAGATTTGTGCTAACAGTGGTACAGACGGTTCCTACAGAGTCAATTACCAGCGCGGAGTGTCTATACCAAGTTACGTTTTTAGTGACCACCTTAAACCACAACAAGCCGAACAAGGCCAAACAATATCAAAAGATGAAGTGTCCAACGTCCTTGCCGCGTATAGTGGAGGTGGGGATTCGGAAATGACGAGACGCATCTGGGACAAGGTTCTCCTCGAAAACTGCGATGACGTGGTGCACGTGTTATCACTCAAGGGTCTCTTCTTGTACTTGTCGCCTGCTAGTAACCGGATATTAGAATACGACCCAAGCGAGCTTGTTGGAACGGCGTTATCCTCCGTTTGCCACCCGAGCGACATTGTCCCAGTAACCAGAGAGTTGAAAGAGACGACAAGCGGCGCCTCTGTAAATGTCGTTTTCAGGATACGGCGGAAGAAGAGTGGTTACATGTGGTTCGAAGGCCATGGTTCGTTGCATACCGAGCAGGGCAAGGGCCGGAAATGCATCATCCTCGTTGGGCGTGAGCGCCCAGTCTACACGCTGAGCAAGACCATTGTGCGCGAGTCTGGCGGTGTCGGCGACAATGAGCTGTGGACCAAGATGTCGACGTCGGGTATGTTCCTATACGTTTCGTCAAATGTACGGCAGCTCCTGGACAAACAACCAGAAGATCTGGTTGGCACCAGCATTCAGTCTCTGATGCGCCAGGAGTCCAAGGTCAATTTTGGGCGGATACTCGAGTTTGCAAGAGGCGGCAGAAAGGGCGAAGTGAAACACGAGATGATCAACAAGCGTGGCCAAGTACTTCAAGCTTTCACCACAATCTATCCCGGAGATGCTGTCGAAGGCCAAAAGCCCACCTTTGTCGTCGGACAAACGCGACTCCTCAAGTACTCACGCAACAGCACCTCTGGTCGCCCTTCCATGTATACAAACACCAAGCAGGAGCGAGATTCATATATGTTAGGGGGAACCTCACCTATGCCGGGATCTGTGGCTAGAAATAACGGAAACTCTGGCAACACTGGAAACACCACCCCATCGACAACTGCTACAAATCCCCTCTATGTGACGACCGAAGAGTCACCGGCCACATTTGCCGGCCACAACGGTCTGCAGATCGGACACCAAGATCAAAGTCTTGCTTCGGACGACAACGTTTTTGATGAACTCAAGACGACAAGAAGTACCAGCTGGCAGTATGAGTTACGTCAAATGGAAAAGCGGAATCGGTATCTTGCAGAGGAGGTACAGACGCTGCTGGCAGCCAAGAAGAAACGAAAGAGGAGAAAGGGTGCTGGACAGATGCAAAAGGATTGCGCGAATTGCCATACGAGACAAACGCCTGAGTGGCGGAGAGGACCTTCTGGGAATCGTGACCTGTGCAATTCGTGTGGATTACGATGGGCAAAGCAGGTAAGCCATGCGTCTTGTGCCACAGCTGTATAGATGAACCCGTACTAATGTCAGTGTTCTCATAGCAAGGGCGAGTATCGCCGAGAACATCCTCAGCCGCAAGCGACAAGAGCAAGAAGAGCGCTTCACCGCGTCACCACCAAACAAAGTCCGAGGCCGGACAGCAAGCATTTAGTCCCTCCACATCAATGGCCACACCCAGTAAACGATCGCCGCAACATGGCAGTATTAGCGAATCTCATGCCCCCAAAGCGGCACGTACGGAAATAGCTTCTGCGCAAGGCTTCATTCCACCACCGGTGATCGACGAGGTAACTGAGCCGGATTCCTGAAGACGGACGATATTTTCTCATTCCCGCGCCTCCTCTTGTGTTTCGTGTCATTTTCGTCTTTGGTCAAACGATACCCCAGTACACAGTTCTATTTTTTAACGGCCTTTGCAATCCTGTGGCGATTGTATACGTGATACTCGAGACGCTTTAGACTCTCTCATGTTCTTTTTTCCCCGCCTCATTTTGTTCTTTTTCTTCTGCGTCATCTTTTCTGCTTTATGATTCGCGGGTTGAATACTGGAGTACATTTCACACGATCATCTCATGTATTTGAATGCCTGTGCTTGCTCTTGTCAATGACTGGGTATTGCGGCGCAAAATTAGTCTTGTTGTAGATATTGGATGGTTTTCCATGACGTCGGAGAGGAATGGGTGTGTAAGGACACCGGCTGTTACATTTTTATTTTCCTCGTCTCTCCACTTCTCTTGTGCTCAGGAGGTATCGTGCACTCGTTAGAGGCGATGACAGAACATACAACGAATGGGTGTGGATATCAAGGCGGAAGCAATCACATGGGCGTGTATACGCATGATATCGGTCAATTTATAAGTCAATCTATCCCAGTCATGCAATCTAGGCTCCTGTGTGTATTTGTTAGGGCTGCAAGGGCAGGACATGATGTAAGGATGATTGTGATTCAGGGACCATCCCATCCACTAACCTCGACCCCTTTGTACCCCCTGGCCCATTTTTTCCCACCTGCATAAACATATGTGCATGTCCCGTTTACCACTAGCATGGTAAATGAGGACCGATCCAGCCTACCCCGCATTCCCTGAATACGCGTAGATAAGAGGCATTTGTATCTTGGCCTCACTCTTCATCCTGACTACTATGAGTGTTTCAAGTTTTGGGCGTAAAGGGTATGGACATGTGTGACATGTTTTTCTTACAACCGACTTATAGAAGGCAAGCTATACTACGATTTCTTGGATGACTATCTCTTTGCTTTACGTAAAGTTCTATTGAAACTAAGAACTTTGGCGAAAGAAAACTTCCTTTGTGCCCAAAATTGTGAACTCTATGGAAGTTTTGGGTTGCAATTGGAAAGGAATGCAGAAGGGGTTGAATTGCGACACTTGTGCAGTACGTCGCAACGTGGCAGTGCAAAAGTCGGGCATGTGCGATATGGAAACATTACTTTGTTGCGGATGGTTTCTTTTTTTTCATAATTTTTCCTTTGTGAATATACTATCATGCGGTTTTGTGGGTTTGATTGTAGTGTTTGCGTTGCCTCCCCGAGCGAGATCACCAAAACCACGCCACAATGTCACACGCAACAAACAAGGAAGCTGACACGGGCTCGCAGGGTCTACCGAACCCAGCCGAGTCTAGGTCTACTCTTTCCTTGATTTTCAGCCCATGTGTGCCGTTGGCTTAAAAGTGAAGCGGATGGGTAACCAGCCTGGAAAGGCTCGCTTGCGTGGTGATGCTGGGCTTAGCTAAGAGGAGCAAAAAAACATGTGCAAATGTAACACGCATCTGCGCGCGCCGTGGGAAACAAGCAGACAAGTATGTACCAGGTATGCATATAGAATAGAAAATAGTTTGGCACAAAATCTCGACAAGACTTGGTGGCGACTTTTGGTTGGAGACGCCTGTTTGGCATACATGTCTTACGTCGGCCTAAGAAATGCTGCTGCTTACATTGAGAATTTCCCGAGTAATAGTGAGGAGGCACTAAAGAGAAACTTGACGTAATCGGGACGGGAACTACGGGGCTTTTTTTGGTCGCGGCGATGTGGATACGGGATCTGGCCCATGGCGTTGCTCTTTGGGAATTTCCGGGACGTACGGATGCCAGGGTGTGGTGAGAAGAGATGAAATGAACAAGATGGTGTAAGGAAGCTGACTGACTGACTGACTGACTGACTGGCTGGCTGGCTGAATGGTTAACTCTAGGAATCAAGGCGTGTTTCTCATGGAATGGGAATGCGCGAAAAGAGGAAAAGTGGAATATTGGATAGGTTCCCATATACGAGCAAACACTTTAATCTTCTTCATCTACATGCGTAGCGCACTTTGCAACATCCTGGCCTGGTAACCCACACGCAATGCAGGCAGCGTAAGTTCGGATATGTCCCTCCAGCACCTGGAGATTATGGCGCATTGTGTATGTATGTGGTCTACTAGATTGGTGCAAAGATGTGCAGAATAAACTTTCAGCTTACCATGAGCAGAGGACTTGGGGGAGGGAAGGGACTTGGACAAGGCAACGCCACTTAACAGCAACGTGCACTAGTTGTTTTCCCCGTCCCCCGGCGGCTCGTCAAGCCACCCAATCAAACTAGCCAGGATCCTACTCCGGCATGTCACCTCCCCTGGATTCCTCCAGGCCCGCTGCATGTCCCCATGCGGCCCGAGCAATTTGCTTTTGGGGGGGTTAGGGAGGGAGGGGAGACGGTGCTGTGAGTGTAGGGTGCGCGTGAGAAAGCGTGTGTATGTGTTGATGTAGATGTTATAAGGAGACAACTAGAGGGGCTGAGACCGAGAAATGAGAAATAGGGAGTGCTAATCAACAAATGATCTCTTTTCTGCTTGAAGTGGTCAAGGGAAGTAAATGCACTGCCTTACTTGATGCCAACTTTACATGTTGGTTCTTGGTTCTTGGAACCACCCAAGACGCGACCAGGGTCTTGCGACGGTTTTCGGCCAAGTCTCGTGTTTTTCTTCTCTTTCTGACATGGGCATGAAAGAGAAAGATACGACGGGTGCGTGTGTGCGCGGTTGGAAAGAGGGGATCTTCGTACCCAGCTCATTTCGTTGCGGTTAATGCCCGACCGGAATGATGCTTATGGCCTAGGTATTATTAGACGCTCTCTTTTTGCTCTCTTGCTTTCCCTCTTTTTATTCCAACTTTTTTTCTCGATTTGTAGAGGACACAAAGTTTGCGCACTGTCCGCCACCTTGGACTCCTTCTTATCCGTGTCTCACTCTCGCTCTTACTCTTGTCCTACCCTTTACCATACTGTACTAGCTCCATCCTGCTGGTGCGACGGTGACCTGCCACTTTTTCTTTCTTATTTTTGGGGGTTCCCTGCACACTCTGTCATCTGAACACGCTTGGTTTGCTTACTCTTGCGATAACAAGACTTGACCTTTGAAGAAACACTCATACTCTTTTCTTTTTTTCTTCTGTGTTTCCTGGCCTGCACGTGCCTATCCCGCGAATCATCTGCGATATACCTGGACTCGATTATTGGACGGTAGTCTATTGGGGTTGCTTTTTGGTTTGCGCTGTGACAGGGAGGAAGAAGCAAGGGCGTCTTTTGGGGCGACGCGCAAGCAAGCCAGAACCTTGGGGCTGACAGAGGCGAAACGCGATTGCGACAACCATCACACATTCTGCAACCCGCCAAAGAAAAGCGCAGAGTACTGGCATCGAAACTGCGCAAGAGGTGGACAGCATGGACGAGAATAACAGAATAACGATTACCGTGTGCGGTGACGGAGGATGCGGTATGCGCAACGATCAAGGAGACGTCAAGGGATGCAGGCTGATGTGCGCGCAGGAAAGAGCTCAATCACATTACGGCTCGTGAGAAGTGAATGGACGTCCGAGTAAGTTTCCGCACACATTGCGACGCTACGCGCGCGCTCTCAGTTGAGCAAGGCAACATTCGGCTGACATGCAGTCTTTAGATATGATCCTACAATAGGTACAACATATATCACTCGCGTCTGCGACGGGCATCCGTGCAGCCATTTTACAGCAACACTGCTCTGACATCCGCTACAGAAGACTCATACTCGGTGACACGTACCATAGATGGCGTCCCCTACTACCTGATGCTCACCGACACGGCTGGTCAAGAAGAATACCGTGGTCTCTGGGCGGCATCCAACTTGCAATCTGATGCCTTTCTTCTCGTCTACGACATCACCGCCGCGAACTCGCTCGATGCACTGGATTACTTCATGGAGATGATCGATATGGAGACGGACAACCGGTTAGACAATGGCAAGATACCACCTATCAAGTGTGTGGTGGGTAACAAGTGCGATTTGCAGGGTCAACGGGTGATTGAGGCAAAGAAGGGGTTGGAGTGGGCGCGAAATCGAAAATGCGGCTTCATGGAGACGAGTGCGAGAGAGATGGTCAACATCGAGGAGACATTTGCTCGTAAGCCCTTCCCTACTCCATTTCTCCCAGAACGAGAGGGAGAGAGGGAGAGAAAATTGACCAGAGACCAATCTGCTAACGTGTGTACCCCTTCAATAGTCCTTGTACGCCGTGTTGTAGAAGCTCGCAGACTTACTGCAAACGAGAACGCCGCAAACCGTACTGCCGCCCTACCCATCTCAAATGCAAATCTTTCTGGAGCACATACCTACAGCGAGAAGCACGATTCCGACGAGTCAAGACAAAGCTTCTGGAGTAAACTGAAATGCTGGTAGTTGCTTTCTCCAATTTCAACTACCGCACTTACTGCGTGTTTGCGTTTTCCCTTGCGAAACCACACCGCTTTAGAGGGGTAAGTGATGGTGTAAGATTACGGACTTTTTGCCAGGGAAACACGCTACGCAAGTCCTCGTGCGTATGCTTCACCTGGAACTACATTCATGACGTTCGCTCAACGGCCATTTGTCTGGTTTTCCCTTTGTCTTTTCCTGTCTTTTGTATTATAGCTGCGTTGGTGGTAGTCGCCCCTTGAAGGACCATCCTCTTTTTGCAGCATCGACAAGCTTTTGGTTGATGTGCGCGTCCCTGCTTTTCCTGCATTTCGTCATGTCTATTGTCATTGGTTTCTCTTATCGTTGGACCGGAGTCGCATTGACATACGAATTCCATGGATCTGTTGATTAGCAGGATGAAAGGGGTCCATGGGATATACTGATACCAGTTGGCAATCTGATTCTTTTTTGTTCTGACCTGATGACTGTCCATGCTCACTTGTGAAGTGAGATCAGCATGGTAGCTTAATGCTATGCGAAAGATGACCGGTTCGAGGCATCAGATGCAGCTAACCATCGGCTATCGAAGGACATTATTCGTGCGTCCGTGCACAAGCACGCAATTAGGATTTGGATCTTCTCGAGATCTTTGAACACCATCACTGTTCTCAAAGTCATCTAACAAATTACACGACCACGGGAGGCGCTCTGGTCTCGTAACTGGGTGAAGAGCAAGTAACAGGCACCTGCAGGCTGGTCAGTTCACAACTGCCCCTCCACAGGGCTCGTGCGCACGACAATAAGAATTGGGGACTGTAAGACTGCAGGGCAGAGTCAAGAAAGAGCAGAAAGCAAAATGTCGAAACCTCATATTGAGCACGAGGACTTATCTCAGGACGGCTTGTCCCGCACACTTAAGGACCTTTTTGCTGGTGCTGTAGGCGGAGTTGCTCAAGTCCTCATTGGGCAACCATTCGACATTGTCAAAGTCCGTCTACAGACGACATCCCAATACTCGGGCGCCTTGGATGCAGCGACCAAAATTTATCAAAATGAAGGAGCGCTTGCCTTCTACAAAGGAACATTAACGCCCCTAATTGGTATCGGAGCCTGTGTGTCTATCCAATTCGGGGGCTTCCACTATGCGCGCCGCGCTTTCGAGGCCAGCAATACAGCCAAGTCGGGCACCGCCCAACTGTCTTACCCGCAGTACTACGCCGCCGGCGCTTTTGCAGGTATCGCCAACACGGCTCTCTCGAGTCCGATCGAGCACATTCGTATAAGACTGCAAACCCAGCCGCACGGCGTGAATCGGCTCTACACCGGGCCCATCGACTGCGTACGCAAACTCTCGGCACATCAGGGTGTACTTGGCGGCGTCTACCGCGGTACTGCTGTGACCTTTATGCGTGAAGCTCAGGCGTATGGGTGTTGGTTTACTGCATTCGAGTATCTTATGAATTCTGACGCTGCACGCAACAACATTGACCGGTCGGAGATTTCAACACTAAAGGTGGCGGCGTACGGGGGACTCGCGGGTGAAGTACTTTGGATCAGCAGTTATCCATTTGATGTTATCAAGAGCAAAATGCAGAGTGATGGGTTTGGAGCGGAGCAAAAGTACAAGAGCATGAGAGACTGTTTTGTGAAGACGTACAGGGGCGAGGGCTTGGGCGGCTTCTGGAGGGGCATTGGACCAACTCTGTTCCGTGCCATGCCTGTTTCCGCAGGGACGTTTGCAACGGTTGAGGTGACGATGCGGTTGATCAGCTAAAGAATGAATATGCTGGTTTCCCGTGGGGAGAATCCGCGCATGGTAGCGCATTCATCTGGGACTGAAGTTTTGCACACACTGTCTGAAGCGCAAGATGGCGAGTGAACATGTCATTCGATGCGTTGGGATATGTTGGATGTTGTTATTCCTGCATACCGTACATTGTCTTGACCTAGAATACTCAAGTACTGTAAGTACATGTACTAGGGTCTATTATCGTTATCAGACGGAAAAGGCGATCAAGTCTAGAATCCAACAATCGCGCCTTGGCTCCCCCAATAATGTCTCGCATCACATTGCCTCTTTCGTACGCTTGAAGATGTAGTAAAGCGCAACATCACAATTGACCTCCTCGAAAGATGCTGCCTACCTAATCTCTCTCGAAGCAGCATACGAATCACAGAGTCAACATTCAATAGTCTTAAGCGGTTCTCTCCACTTCTAGAGTACAATGTAATCTCACCCTCTTTGTTTTCGGGTGCCCCTCAGAAACACCCGCACTCGGGTACAGAAAGGTAGACTCCGGTTCCTGAGTACCAACCCTTACTATCCCAGAAAAATAAACCACCACTATGCCACTCGCATCGCGGCGGCTTGTATTTACAGCGCCACCAATGTAGCGCGTTTTGAGCACAGAAGATGACCCCACATGAGGGGCAAGCTTGTGCAAGTGACTGCATAAACACGACAGGCATTGTGTTACTACTCACCACTACTTACTTAGTTCCGGCCCGTGCGCTCAATTTCGCTCCGCCCGTCTAGCTGCGAACGGGTGGGTTTGATTGGCATAAGTACCATCTGGTTGCGTGATATCTGTTCATGTTTTGCGTTTTTTACTCTTCTATGTTTCCACTTGCACTGCTATGAATATGTAGGACCAAACATACCGAGGGTACATAGACACTGCTGTGGGTATCATACCATGTCAAATTCAGCGATTTACTATCTGTTGTGTCATCCCCATGAAGAAGGGAAAATCTAGACAAACGATGATGAACCCGAAGAGACGTATCCAGGGAACTTCCTTTATTGTAGGTAGATAGTCATTTCCTTTTTCTCTTGTCCCCGTCAGCATCTGGGCCCATTATATGCTTCATCGCTTTCTTGTACATATGTCGGCCCTCCCCGGCCCTCGCAACACCTCTACTTGCTTCCTGCATATCTACCCTTCCGCCAGTACACCTTCAACTCAGAACAATCTGCCCACTTTCCCGTGTGGACAGAACCATTGAAAATGGGCTTTGGGAAAACTTTTCGAAGATGGACATGCAACATCGCTTTCTCGCCCGAACACGCTAATTTCTCGACATCAACTCTGGTTATACAGTACTCTTCACAGCACATGCAATCGGAAGAAGACCTCATGCCCACTACCACGCAAAGCCAACCACCTCGACTGCGTTGTGCAGCGCCCGCTGTCTTCACGCCCTCGGAAACCGCACTGCACAGACCCACAAGCCAGACTATATGTCATTCACTGCTGGACAAGAGAAGCAGGAGAAAGAATGGTGCGAGTCAAAGGGGCAGTGTAGATACACTAAACAAGAAGGATGGTGCTAGCTTTATGAGAGGAAGTGTACAGAAGAAAAGCAGTGTGTCTAATATATGGTGAAGTGCTGTTGTTTTAGTAGAGTACTAAGCTTCTAGAATAAACACTTAGAGAATCTAGTCCTAAGATTGCTTGCACAGGTAGCTTGTGAATAGGATTTACAGGCGCGTACTATCAACGCTTAGCTAGAACGTTGCTTTGTTAAGCTAAGTGTAACGATGTTACAACTTCGCTAAGTATCGGACCAATCCCAGAGCCGGATCGGAGGTAGTATTCGCCGCTCTCTTTATTACCACTCATTGCGAGGTCGGATCCGATTCGGATCCAACTAAGATAAGTATATAAGGAGACACCCCCTACAGCTAGCTCTATAGACTTTTAATATCCTTTCGTACAAGGCCTATAGGTGTCTATTCGAATCAAAGCTCGTTTAATGTCCCACGCACTCCTATATGCCTCTAAGTAACACTAATACTAATACTAATCCGAGTAGTCTTGCCTGCGCCGTTACACTAAAGGTTCTTAAGTAACTAGAGCGTAGTTCTTCTCTTCTTAGGCAGCTACTACAACATAGACTTTATAAAGTTAAGAAATAATTACTTACTCTTACTGTTAAGAGTAGTGATAGTAGATCTATAAGGTAATACGAAATTATTAATCTAAATACTTCTAATATAGATATAGATAGCTGACACCTATTAGCTTTCTATCTTCTTCTATACCCGCTGACAAATCTCTTAAAGTAGGTATCTTTATTTTCGCCCTCTCTTCTTCTGTGATAAACTGTTACGATTAGTCTTAGAATATAGAGAACATTTCGCTATTACATTTATTTAACGAGTAATTTATAAGACGGCGAATCCGTAGTAAGAAATAGAGACACTTATGTAGAACTAGCGCATCACGTAATCTATAGAATGCTTAGTAATTAGTATATCTTAGTAGTACTAAGTAACTAAGTATCCTGTATATAGCTTTAGTATATAGTACTAGGTTTTAGGCCCTTATAGCTTAATATATTTAACTTAAGTTGATTGATTGATTGATTTAGTCCTACTCGGTTTCAGCCGCGTTTTCACCGCAGCTATGCCCGGCATAGCTAGCGTAGCCAACAGCCGACGCCGCGCAGACGTTAATCCGCGCCGCCCCACGTCACTCCCTTATGGGAGCCAGCTATTCCTAGAGGCCTGCCGTTTCCCCTCCACCACTATCTACAATCTGGCTGCCACCTCATCTAGATAATAGCTCTACTAACAATATGCTGTGCTTATAGGTTCGTAGAGGCGTGCTGCCTCATATTTTGCGGCCGCGATACCTACAGTCTCCCCCCAGCGCTCGGCTGTCGTCTACGCGTCTTCGATCCCAACATGCCCAAGAATCTGCGCTTATTCTACAAACTAGATAGCTTTAGTGGCTAGCTGTAGCTTACTTAGGATAGCCCGGAGGTTATTTCGTCCACGGAGGTTACCAAATACCTAGTTCCGGAGGTCCTTAAGCGTCCTGCAGTAGAGCAGGATATAGGCGATAGTCTATCGCCTCTCCCCGCACTAGCAGCGGGGGCTAGTAACCTCTAGCACTCTTTAGGTAAAGAGAAAGTCGCGCAGGCCTATCTTCTCAGTGCGCAGCTGCACTAGCAGCGCGCTCTGTTGTTTAGTAAGGCCTTCGTGGATCTAAAGTACTTTCTTGGAAGGCTATAGTGTGTGTCTATAGGTTACTCGACCTTTCGCCTCTGCTCGCCACTTAGCTGCCCACGCTCGCTCTATTTAAGTCCTGCACCAGCGTCTGACGGTCGATCTAATTAAGTAGAGCCTAGGCGGTGCGTCTACTAGCGGGTGTCTGCGGCCGTCCTCTCTCCATCCTATAGCCTCTTTAGCGGCCCTGTCGACAGCTTCGTTTCCTAGGATGCCGGTGTGAGCTGGGATCCACCTTATTGTCACTGGCCGGTCCATGTCCTAAAGTATCTTGACCTGTTCTGCAATATCTGCGAGAATATATGCTCCTAATCGGCCTTCAGCCTTAGCTACTAACCATATGGCCGCCTGGTTGTCTGTGTAGATGGCTACCTTCCGTCTCTTACCTCCTCGCTCTGCGTACTCTTGTGCTATTTGCAGTGCGAGGCTGATGCCTTGTAGCTCGGCAGCGTAGACTGTCGAGTCCGTGTCTGGCCCTATGTGTACTGTGCGGGTCTGCTGTATGAGTGGGCATACTGCTGCAGCCCCAATCTCGCCATCTATGCCGCTACCGTCAGTGTAGATACTAAGGCTCTGGTCCTTCTCATATTCTCTGTCGTGTCGACTACGTGCTTTGTCGGCGCTCTTATCTATATGGGTCTTTAGGCCGTATCGCCAAGGCGGAGTAATAAAGGGTAGAATTAGCTCCTGCATCTTGAGATCTTGTCTGCGCTAACCCTTCATATCATTATATATCTTCTGCCAGGAGTCGACGTGTCTAATGCGGCGTATGTTTACGCTAGCGGGTTGTGTTCTACTCACCTTAAGGTTTAAAATATATACTATGTGCTTGCTCGAGAGAAGCCGAATAATAACGTCGGCGTTATACTTCCATATCTACTACTTAATTAGCAGGAGGTGTGCTTCGACGTTAAGTGCTGCTTTGGACGTGGCTTTATATGCTCCGCATATAGCTCTTACTGCTCTTACCTATATACTTTACAGGATGTTGAGTGTCTTCTTTATGTATATTTTGCCCTTAACGCTGGCATTCGACTAGATGGAGCAGGTATACATCATCTATGGCAGCGCTGTGGCCTCGTACAGTCTCCGCATGTCTGTAAGCGTAATACCCTACGTCGAGCCTCCGAGGCAGCTAAGCGCGCTAACCGTCTTTGTCGCCTTGCGTCTAGTCTCTTCCACATATTCTTTCCACTGCAGCTTCGAGTCCATAGTTAGGCCTAGATACTTACACGTTAGCTTAGGCGTCACCTCGCCCCAGCTGGTCTGCACTGTTCTACTTCTATTAATGCGTGTACGTGAGCGTGTGAAGTGAGTCAGCTAGAACTTATCTAGTGCGAAGACTAAGGCGTGAGTGATGGCCCACCACTGTGCTTTCTCGAGCACGCGACTTAGTGTGCTGCATATCTCTGCTACTATATTGCCCTATGTGAGGATAGCCACGTCGTCTATATATCCTATAGACGTTGTGTTAGCTTCTCTGTTACACTCGTCTATAAGATCGGCGTTATAGAAGAGATAAAGAATAGGTGAGAGCGGCGAGCCCTATAGTATGCCCGTGTTGATTGCGTACTCTTATAATGTGAAGCCATCTACTGCGATCCTAGTATATCTGTTGCTGAGAAAGCTTGCAATCCACTTAACTATCTTCTTATCCACTCTTCGCTTCTATAAATTATAGAGCAGTCGTAGGTGCGAAACGTTGTCGAAGGCGCCCGAGACATTAAGCAGTAGAAGACTAGCTACCTAGCCGTCGCCTTTATTCCACGCCTAGTAGATCCTGCTTGTGACAGCATGCAGTGCGTGTTCAGTAGAGCGCATTCTCCTGCCGCCCATATATGTGTCGGGCAGCACGTGCTTTATTTCAACTAAGTGGCTAAGTCGTCGGGCAATAACAGCATCCATAACTTTGCCGACTATGTTAAGTAGCGCGATTAGCCGGTATGCTTTAGGTACGGTGTAGTTGTCTTTGCCTAGCTTACGCAGGACGACCGTAGTCGACTCGCGAAAGTAAGAAGAGTAGTATCCTAGGCGCAGGCTGCAGTTGACTATTCTTATGAGGTGCTCAGTAATCAGCCTCTCTCCTACCTGTAGCGCTCGATTTGCTATACTGTCTAGCCTAGAGGCCTTAAAAGGTGCTGCTACACGGATCGCGTCTCTTACTTCCTTTTCCATTACTACGGGGAACTCAATCTAGCTGCTGTACTCAGCGTCCTGTATGTCTGTCAGGTCTGCTGCTAGTAGGGCGGGGAAGAAGACATCTCGGAACAGAGTTACTTTATCAGCTGGCTCTATAACTTCGTGTTCTATCGTTGGGTGTCGTATGGCAGGTGTGACCCTAGAAGCCACACTACCTCTTGTCTTAGCCCAGGTTGCGAGCTTCCACAGCTTCTCTGGCGACTGCGCTGCCTCTTCTACTCTATCTCTATGCATCTAAGTCATTGCTTTGCGAATTACTCTAGCTTTGTGGTTTCTCGCTTCTCGATACGCTTGCCACGTCTCTTCTGTGCCGTGTTAGCCGTGCCGCCTTTTAAGCCTCTTCGCCTCCGCTAGTACTATCTTACATTCCGCCGTCCATCCTTCTCTTGCCCGAGCTGAGATGCATACCTACGGAGTCGCCTTCTCTACTACTATCTTAATAGCAGTAGTCACGTCGCGGACGTAGTTATCGAGTGCTAGTTTAGTCGTTGGCCTGCGTAGTGGCGGCAGAGTCGCTTTTAGGTCTTCTAGGTACGTCTTCTCGTTCATGCGCTTCCAGTTCCTCTTTATCGTCTCTTGCATAGATTACACCGCCATATCGAGCACTGTGCTTATCGGTAGGTAGTCAGAGTCGTGGTCAAGGTCGCAGTCTACCTCACTTCTAATCATCCTGTCGACGAGGCTGATAGTGACGAGGCATAGATCGATAGTAGTCTGCCGTGCCGCTTCTTCGTATGTGATTATTCTAATTTAACTTAAGTTCTAAGTATAAGTATAATACTATATTATACTTACTTAAGTTACTTTCTAGTATATACTATCTCTCTATCTGTGAAAACTTACTAATAAGAAGCTTAACACTAGAAGTCTAATATTACTTCTACTTAAGCTATACTCTTAATATAAATCTGTCTAAAGTTTTAAGATCTTATATAAGAACCTTACTCCTATAGTAAAACATAATAAAGTTATAGTAGAGTAGAGATATTCTACTTTTAAATAGTACCTTTTTAATCTTCGCTGTTAACTATTTAACCTTAGAAACAAAGATAGTAGCTAGGTAGTCTATATACACCGTAGTAATAATAAGAGCTCTTACTACGCCTAGGTTATAAGCGCTTATAGGTCGTGGACCTTTACTATACTATTCTAGTTACATACTATCTTTAATAACTTTAATAGTTAAAGTCTCTTATTAATAATAATTAGCCCTATATTAAGCATATAAGCAGAATATATGTAGTATATCCATCTATATAACTAGCTGTTAAGTTATAGATAGCGGAACTAAAACTATAAGTGTAGGCTAGTGTGTAGTAAAATCTGTACTATATATCAATCGCGACTAGGCTAGCAGATAGGCACTCTCTACTAAACACTATAGTTAGAATATATAACTATGTTAACAAGATATAATAATAGTTTTTTATTAGCTATAGTAATAACACTAACCTAACCTCTACCTAAAGTTTTAGCAACCTGACATTAACCTAACCTCTACCTATTTACTAGCCTAATTACGACCTTTATCTACCTATAGTACTAGTGAGGTACTACTTAATATTAACGCTAGAGGTATTTTTATAGGCGAAGAGGCCTTTAAATAAGTTTATATTAGCCTATAGTATAGAGGAAGAAAGATAAGAAGAGTTAAGTTATCGTATAAAACCTCTCTCTTTATACCCTACTTCTCTACTCTTCATATAAGTAAGTTCTAACTAAGTAGAATAATATAGGCACGTAATATAGGCATATAATATGATTATATACTTTTACTCTATAGGCGTAGCCTACTATAATACCCCCGCTCTATACTATGTACGACTACTTAGTAGTTTACGTATTTATTTATAGTTTAAATAGCTATATTATTACTTAGCTATAACGTACCTTTACTAGTATAGTTGAGCTAGCTATTAATATTACTAGTAGTTAGTTATAAGTAATATTAATAAGTATTCTATCTAGTATATCTCCACCGTAACTATTACTAATAAGCTTTATTATATCTTTACTACCATCTTTATAAGTCTCTTTCTTCTCTTTCTATATAGCTCGTGGGTTGATTAAGTTTAGAAGAATATTTAGTATATTTTTAATTTCTTCTACCTCCTCTATATTAATAGTTTTTATAATACGATTCGTAGTACTAGTCTACGCAATTATTCTCTTATTATAGCGTATAAAATAAAAACCATATATTATATCTATATTAGTCGTCTATCATATCTCAAGAACTTTATTAGTTTTAACGTGTAGTTCTATGTGAAAAACTACGCTACTATTATTAAAAGTAAGAAATAGCTAATAGCATTTATATGCTATATATTAATTCTAAGTAAGTAGAGAAGAGATTACTCTTATTATATCTAGTAAAAATATAGCGCTTATTAAAATATCTTATATAATTCTAGTAGTTATATAACGTCTGCTTTTGGGCGTATATTAAGTAGCTTAAATAGTGATAGCCTGCGTGGGTAAGTAGTTCTAAGAGGTCTACCTAACCTTCTACTTCTTAAGTAGCTAGAGCTTTTTACGCTAGTTCTTCTTAAGTTAGCTATTTAGTTATTATCGTAGAACTAATAAGTTAGTTAGTTATCCGTGCTAAGGCTTAGCTTATTTAGCTAAGTTAGCTGCGCTGACACTCGCCGCAGGCGATTGCCGACGCTTAATACGATATTACTATTAATATAATATTTTTTCGTAACTCTATTACTTAAATCTCTACTTATAGCCTCTATAATAGCTTAATCTTAAGCTTTAATGAATAATCGTATTATAGAGATCATAGAGTCTATTAAAGATATCTCGAAGCCAAATTTTAAGCAGCTTAAGCGTAAATACGATATTCTATACTAGTAATTACTCGCCTAATTAAAGGGCTGCCTAATATATTCTTAACGTCTTTCTATAGCTATGCGTTAAAAGTGTTATAAGTTAGGCTACCCTACTAAAACTCTACTCTCTACTATCCATATTTTTAATACCTCATACTAACGCTATAGCATACTAATTTAATTATAGAATGTTGTAAAATACTCTCTATTGCTAAAATATAATAATAGAGAAGCGAAGTATTATAATTAGTATATTACGTAGTATTTACACTGTAACTAAGGTTGCAGCTATTTTTTTATATACGCTCTCTACTATTACCCGTGTTAGAATAAGGAGGGTGCTACTTATTCTATAGCTAGCTCAGAGGTAGAGTCGTCTACTTGTCTAGCGATAGACTCAGAGATAGCGAATCGATAGGTTCTAGAATAAAAAAGAGAGAAATACTAGAGAAGAGAGATAAGGATTGGATTAATCTAATCTAGTAGTCTAATCTATTCTTATAATCTGCTCTATGCTATCTACTCTGCTTTCTATCTAGTATTCCTATCACTAGTATTTATACTAGCTAGTAGCGATAGATTACGTTATATACACGTAATCTTTATTTATCTCTTACGCTACTAATACACTTATAATACACTAGTAGTATAGTAGTATAGATCGCTAGGGTATAGCGATCTAGTCGATTAATAGATCGATCTTATTAGAGATTAGCTAAGTAGCTTATATCTCTAACACGCCCCTTTAAGCTAGGCAGCTAAGATCTAAGATATATCTATTAGATTTGCTTATAATAGAAAATCTCGAATCTTCTTAGCATTTGTTGCCTTTATAAGACAAATAGCTAGTAGGCAGCTAGTATTTTAATATTATAGCTAGATCTGTTTAGTCTCTACCTTCTCACGCACGAAATAGTATTAAATATCGATATGTTTAGTTCTAGCGTAGTCGGTAGGATTTTTAGATAGCTAGATCGCACTCTAGCTGTCAGAGTATATCATAACAGTTCCATCTAATAGTATATCAAATAGTTATTTAATCTCTTTAATAAATTAGATTAGATAGATACACTCTTTAGTTAATTCGCGGTATGCTATAAATTCGGCTTCTGCGCTCAATAGAGCCACTATTAGTTATAGCTTTAATAGCTATAAAATCGTGTAGTAGTTCTTATTTAGTTAAAGCAAAAATATATATCCTATTATAGATCTTCGACTATTAAGATTACCGCCCTAATCTGCATCCGTAGATCTAATCAGCTTAATCTAATCTAATCTAACTAATATAGATTAATCTAACTTAATAGATCTAGCTTAGAAGTTAGCATTAAGTTGGTAGAGTAGTCCGATCTGCTTTAATTAAGATAGATATCCCCAGAGGTAATCGAGACTGCTGAAATACTCTAAACTTAGATTAGCTATAAATCTAGATAGAAGATTAACTACGTAAGTAATATCTAGCTAAGTAAAAGTAGATAAGTAGATTAGAGAGCCAATTTATTATTACAATAGATTAGTATCTTTTACTATTGCTGTCTAATCGTTTTTGCTAAGCTTTGTGCTATATTCAAAGAGGCATTTACCTTAGTTTAACGTTCTCTTTATTAAAACAGATAAGTAGCCTTTAAAGATAGCTCTCTTAGGTAATATAGATCAGTCTATCTAATCTAATAATTTAGATACTAAGAAACTCAGATATATTACCTAGATCTTTAATCTCTAGATCTAATATATCTAATAGATCGCGGAATAGATTCTTAATCTTTTACTCTTTTTCTCTAAATATAAGTAGATTATCTACGTAAGTAGCGATTATAATCTTCTGATCACAATTAATATATATAGCTGTATTAATAGATAGAGATTGAAATTCTAGTTAGCCTAGTAGGCTTACTAGTAGCTTCTGCTATTTTCTACTAGCTTATTTTAATCCGTACAGTGCCTTATTAAGTAGGTAGACGTGCTAAGAGTATTATAGATCTAAAAATCCTTCTAGTTATTTAATGAATATCGTGGTATCGATAAGAGTATTTAGGAAAGCTTATTTAATATCCCAGCTTTAAATAATCTAGTCTTAGGCTGTAGCTATCACTAGTAGCAATCTAATAAGTTTAGGCCTAGTAGTATTAGCGAACGTTTCTTAATAGTTAACGCTAAATTCTTATTAAAAACCTTTAGCTACCTAATGAGCTTTAAAAAGATAGTCGTTATTTTATTAGTATTTTTAAGTAAGTACCTAATAATCTTTAATAACTAGATAGCTAGTAGGCCTTAGCACGAGCGTCTAGGTGTTGTTCTTCTATAGTTAATCTAGCTCTTTCTGCATTGCTAATAGATATTAATCTTTATTAGCGTGTTTAAGAACTTAAGCGTAGTTTTTTAGAATAGTAATATCCTTAGAGGTAAATAAGATCTCCTCTAGAATAATGTCCTCTATAGAAACTTTAGTGAATAGAGCTAATACAGCTGTTCTAGCTCTGTTTTGAATTAAAACGATTATATTCTTTCTAACTATACTCTATTAATTCGTAGATCAATTAGTGGATTAATCGATATTTTAATTAATTTTTAATATCTTTATCTAATCTCTCTTCAGATAGAGATGTTAATTAGTTTCTTACTTAGTTTCTCGATTGATTTCGAGTGGAGATTCGTAATTATAAGCTTAATCGTTAAATACTTCTTTGAGTATTCTTATATCTCTCGCAGTTACGATCTTATTTAACTTTAAATTAATTAGTTGAT